CACCTGTGAAATTGGTATATGTCTCCTTACACAATCATCTTCTGTATTGTACATTTCCTTAATACATAGTGGCAGGAATAGTTTTTGCTTTTCAAATGTAAAATCTTCACCAACTTAGGATGTTACGTGATAAACAAACACAAAGTAATTCAGAAATCCTTCAGAGGGTTTTGATGAAGGGATCGGATATCTCAACCCCATGTGTGATTTTGGGGATGGTGTGTTCAAGGTTACATTTTCTTACATGGAGCCTACGAGGTCAAAAAGTTGGACTCTTGTCCTTCCTGTTCCCAGCCTCTTTCCTCTACATTTGCTCTGTTTCTTACAATGCCTACAGTGAGCTAACGTTTCTCTCTAAAATAGCTTAATTTGATCTGCAAATGTCATCTTAATAAATTGCTCGACTAAGACGTCTTGTTAACAGGTTATCCCCTCCAGATTTGTGGATCTCTGCAGTTCCTCTAGAGCAGGCATCCCCAAAGTCGGTCCTCGAGGGCCACTGTCCTGCAGGTTTTAGAGGTCTCCCTGCATCAGCACAGCTGATTTACATTCATAGTTGATTAACAGGCTTTTGCTGAACTGAAATCATCAGAATCAGCTGTTCTAAAGCAGATAAACCTCTAAAACCTGCAGGACAGCGGCCCTCGAGGACCGACTTTGGGGATGCCTGCTCTAGAGTTTAGGCCAAAACACACAGGATCCAAAATCAAAGAGAAAACTGGGTTGTGTGAGGCCCGCAGCAAATAAAATATATTAAAGGGATCGAGGAGGCAATGACTGCTTAACGTCTGAATCAGGCTCTTGAGATCGACTCTGCAATTGTATAGGAAATTCATGAGTAAAAACGGCAAGTAAAGACACAGTGGCAAAGTAAAACATGCACCTTTGGGGAAATTTCAAACCAAAGATACATAAACTAATGTGCAAAAGTCTATTATACAGGCTCGCATTTTGTGCAGATGTGGCTCATTGGAACAGACCTAAACATATTTCAAATAATAACCCCCTGGAAGTAACGTAATGTCAATAAAAGTAACGAAAAATAAAACGGCAATTTGGTTTGAGCTTTTTCATGTAACAGCTGTAGTTTTTTTATTCACTCCAGGCCTGGTTACCCTCACATGGGTCTGAAGATCAGTTCATGGAGCCTCTACTAAGAGCCAGTGTGTTTGGAAGAAAATAGGTTGGAACTTGGAACTGCTTCTCTGGCTTTTTGTTTTTACATTCATCCCAAACCAAAGAATCTGATAAACTCCTTTTGTCTTTTTTTTTTTTCGTTCACCAATAATCTCTAACAAAGCTATGAGACGCATCAAAGTGAAGCTGTGTTGATTCTGACGTTAAATTACCTTCCAGTATATTGGATATTTCTCTGCAAGTAGAAGCAGGAACATCAAGTCTACATTAACTCGCTGTTACAACCTACCTGTACATTTTTTTTAATCCCATACAGAGTAAATCTTTTATCCATTAACTTTGCATTATTTAAGCCTAACCCCCCTCTTCTGACTGTTTATGCTTGTGAAGAAATTTATAGTCCAGTGCTACAGGGTAATGGGCTTATTGTGGTTTTGCCCCATCAGCTGCCGGTCTCCAGACACTCGTTTGGTGTTGGCCCTGGCCAAAGGTGCTGCATTAAAGCCATTTGCTCTTGTCTTGATAATTCTGATGAACACCAAGTAAATGGTATCAGGAGGATGGATGGTTGTGATCTTAAGAGGTAGATTTCACATTTTGCAGATGTTATTGGGGATAAATGAATAAGCCTGTTCAGTTTGGATTTTACAAGGAAATTGCTGCTTTATTGGATGATGTGAAGCAGCAAGCATTTATTAATACCCGCCCGTCTGTGTTTGTTTATGCTCTTAATAACTTCAGCCTCTCTGTTCACTGATCTGTCTTATCACACTAAGTTTTATTCATTTTGATTAGAAATAGCTGGATTAAAACTGCACACGTCTACAGGGATAGTTTTTTTTTATTTATTCCTCCCCCCCCCAAATAGATCAGAATTTCTTTTCCTAAAACACACTCCCCTTTTAAACCTCTCCAATCCTTCATACAATGGGCACTTTGTTCATGTTTAGCTGCAACATTCTAGTTAGGAAAAGCTTACTGTGACACAGAGTGAAGCCCATTTCCAGGGCGATCAGGCTCCCAGCACGTTTCTACCAGAGATCCAGTGAAAATAGCCTTAAGCCCTTGGTGTTTAATAAGAGGCGTGAGGGGGAAGTTAAATGACCTCACACGAAGCAGAAACAAAGAGGCCTACCTCTCCTGCAGAAGGTTTTATCAGCTTTTAACTCTACAAGAAGCCGGCCCCAATCCTTTGTTTCACCATGATCTTCATGATATTCCTTTTCTATTTAACTTTGTCAATCTTTTACCACATTGTCAAGAAATTTGCTGAGGCTTGTTGTGTTTGGCATAATTTTCTCCTTGATGATCAAACTACCAAAGTGGAGTAATTCATTAACTCAAATGGGGAAAAAATATTGTTAGAGTGCCTTAATTTAGATGTATATCTGAAATACAGACTGGATTCAGTGTAAACCTGCAGTACTTCAATGACACAAACCCATTTATGACTGTATGAGTGCTACCTTTCCTGTTTAAATAAATAGCAAGAGTGCAACTGCTTCCTCCCACTAGCTTTACCATTTAAGTTTTGTTTTTATAAAATCTCTGTAATCTGTTGTGTTTTTGGGACACTTTAAACCCTATCTTTGTATTATGTGAAGACGCATAAAGCCCAGGAATTTTAAAGGACTTTACTTCTTTTTCCCATGCCTTTGATGATGAAAACCTAACCCTGGCCTGATCTCCAAATGGCTTCAAAAGTTTACTTATTTATTTTTCCCTTTAGTTCGTGTCATGAACTAAATTTTAGTTTTTCAATAGAAATGCCAAATTAGGGGTAGATCTGATTTGGAGAAGCTGATCCATAATCGATGACCACACAGTTCTGTTCTTCCAAAAGGAAGACAGATGAACCGTGTCTCAGAACTTGCGCGATCGCAAACGGGCTGATGTCAGTGACAACTGTGTGGTAAAGTCGAACTAAAACAAAGCTAGCACTTCCTGGATATAGCTTTGGTTTTGTTTGCAGCAGTTATTCTGTCTTTGATGTAGACAGAGATCCAATTCGATAAGGGATGCAGAAATACCATCAAGGCATCCACTGCATTAGATGTAACTTAGTTTCTGAATGTACATTTGCCCTCTAGTATTTTTCCTTTCTTTCATATAATTGTTGTGCGTTGCATTCTGCTTTTCGGTTTTAATACTTCGTGGTGTTATTTTCATCTTTTTCCCTCTTTTCCAAATAACTAGTTTTTGTATTTTGCCAATTTTTTTATGATGTAAAGCTGTTAATTATAGAGGAAAAAAAGGTGCAAGAAAAATATAAAAACTTCCTAAGATCGTGTAATGACTACAAATCAAACATCTTGTTTCTTCCTGCTAATAAATTAAATAACATTTATTTATATAGCAACAATTCACAACACAAATCATTTAGGTTTTCTATCAAGGATAAAACAACTGACTGCATCAAGTCATTGATTCAACAACAGTTCCTCTTAGCGAGAATGTATGCAGTGACAGTGGAGAGCAAACCCCCCACTTTAACAGGAAGAAACTTCCAGCAGAACCATGCTCAGTGTGCGGCCTTACCGCTGAGCCTGACTGGGGGTTCAAGGAGACAGAAGCAGAGACAAAAAACATGGAAGCATTCATCTTTAAATAATTTCTATATTAGAAAAGTTAAGTTTAAAGTAGTTCCGTAGGTGGCTCTGTCTAGTAAAGAAACAATATGAGAGCTCCGAGCCAGTTTTCTTGTCAAAAGGATGAAAGTTTGCAAAGACATGTAGCTACAGTAAATGCTGAAGCAATATCTATATATAGGAGAGAAACAAGAAAAAAAAATGCTAAGAAAAACAGGCCAACTCTATCTTCTGTAAAAGTAATGATGGCAGCAGCCCAGCTGATATTTTTAACCTGGACGTTGACACAGAAGAACAGAAGAGATGAAGCTATTATGATGAGAAGAATCAGAGAGAATATGGAGTTAGGGTTGAACTAACAAATTCTTAAGAAAAAGAGATGGAATAAATCAGAAAAATTAAGAGTTGGTGGTCCCTATGTTCTCCGGCAGTCTAAGCCTATAACTGCATAACTGTAGATACATATAGTTATACTGCTATAGGCTATTGTAGCATTATTTGGGATTTAATATGCTACATTTATTTTAGGTATATCTCACAAGATGACAATTGACCAAAATTATGTTTATTTGAAGGACCAAACCTTTATTTTTCTCCGCAAGGATGCACATAGATTCTGGATCCTGATCAGAAATGGGATATATTGACTTAAATAAATCATTTTATACTGTTAATTACATAAATCTAATAATAATCAGTCTAATTTCTATTACCTACTGAAAAATGGCCCAAAAAAGAAAGATAATCCTAATTCTTCTAGCTTTTTTTTTTTTTATCAAAGTCAGAGGGGACACTTTTAGAAAAATATGTTAACTTAAAATATTTATATAATTATTGGCTGGATAAGCTTTAGTTTTAATCAGATGTTACCTGATCTTCTACGTTTTCTATCATCGGAGGCTGTTTCTCAGTTTTAGTCTGACAATGCTTATAAAAAAATATGCATTTGTTTTTTGTTTTTTCTAAATCCCATACTGGAGGTTGTCACATCAACTGTTGCAAAGTGATGTAGGCTTTGTCAGTCCTTTTTTTCTTTAAATGTTTTTGATAAGTCCCATGGTTAAGGCAACAGGGCTGTATTTGGGGTACTTTATTTCGTTCTTCAAAATAAGAGCCAAATATTGACTGCCACAGGATAAGACTTGGCGAACTACACTTCATGAGAACGATCATACTTTATTTATTACGAGTTCTCGGACATCTTGATTAACCTTGTTTTAAAATACGTACTGAAATGAAATAAATTAAAGATTAATACGTTTTTCCTTTTCAAAGGGAGTGGAGCCACAGCAGTGGTCCAGGCAGCCTACTGTACACCCAGAAAAGAGAAGGTTGCCATCAAACGCATCAACCTAGAGAAGTGCCAGACCAGTATGGATGAACTCCTGGTAAGTTACAAGTTTGTACAGTTTGTGTGGTCAAATGTTGCTTCTTGCAGCCTAAAATTCAGTTTAACAGCTCTGTCTTCTTTTCATGTGTGTGGAATTTGTTCTACCCCTGCTTCTCATTACTCATTTTCTCTGGGAACACGTCCAATCAATCCTGTCACTTTAGACACTATTCCAGTTGTTCTCTTAAAGAAGGCTCCACTTACAGCCAGGAAACTGCTGGAACAGTTGCTTTGCTGCGTCTTTTTACCAGCCAGTTTAATCCAGTCTTGCACTGCAGCTAAACACATAATTCACTGATAGCCAAGGCAGCTAATGATTTAGCCCCAGAGGACATAAAAAAGAAAGAAAGAAAGTATCCTGTATTTGTAGTAACTTACCTCTTAGATTAGAAGAGTGATTATTAATGTCTTTTTCAGGCCTTTTCAGGAACAGGAAATAAATATTGTGTAAGCCTGTAAGCATCTTTCTAAGGTCATGGCCTGAGGAAGCTGCCAGCCAGGTTGCTCAGGACTCAGTGGCGACACTAAATCCTTCCCCAGCCCCCTTTGAATTATACAGGATGAATCAGGGGAATTTCGCTCCCAGATTCTCGGTGCAGGAGGTCACACAGAGTACTGGGCGATCGGATTTCCTCCGTGTGGTTTCCTCCCACAGCTCCACAACACAGTCAGTGCCCACTTTAAAGGCGAGGATGCACTAAATTGAAGGCAGATTGTCCCATCTGAGAAGTCAGCTTTAAAGTAGACTGCAGAAGGCTTGTTTTTAACAATGCCTGCAGGTATTTAACATTGTCTCTGAAATTCTTTGATGCTAAGAAAGCAATAGTACATCATCTCTCTGGGTCAGCTTTGGTAGTTTTTCCATGTGAGTGAGTGTAACAGACACTGACTCAGTGGAGCAGATGTTGTGGGCACTTCCTTTAAAATGAAAGATGTTAGGCTTATATATTTCCTGTGTAGTTATAATGCCTTGAAATAGTATTCACATTTCTTTAATTTTTTCTTTTTATCAGGTTTTGATGTAATAAAACAACACAGAAACATCTTCTTTACACAGATGAACAGCTTAAGCAGGGTATGCATGCATTTATGGACAACTCCTTTCCTTTTTATCATCCCTAAATGAAATTAAGTCCAACTAACTATCTTTATATATAGTATAAAGAGTCCCCTCTGTGTAGCTCTGGCTTCATATATTGTTAGGGACATATCAGTGAGCAAAAATCACTGTGAAAACTAAGGAATGCAGAGAAAAGGTCACGGAGAAAGCTGTTGATAGATTTAAAGCAGGGTTGGTTTATGAAACCATGTTCCAAGCTTGAACATCTTGCAGAGCACTGCTTAATCCATCATCTAAAGCAGGAGGAGTTTGGCACAGGTTAACACTTTAGGAGCTGGAGAAGAGTTGGCAGGAGTCGTCCTGTATGCACCGTATGGCAAAAAACCACTACATGCTGTACAGACCATATCCAAAGTGAGACACGGTGGTGACAGCATCATGCTTTGGGAATGCCTTTCTTCTGTGCTGATAGGAAAGCTAGACAGAATTTAATAGGCTACTCAAAGTTTATTGAGTCCTATTAGGAATTTAAAAGTTCTTATATTTTGATAGGTCAGTATAAATGTGCAATGTTCGAAAAGTAATCCTCTAAAAATTTTCAGTCGCTCTATAAAGTAGGACTAACAATAACTTTGGAAGTCTGTACAAATTGAGCAAAATTAAAGGCTTTCATTTTTAGAAGATTTTTTAAAATAATGGAAAAGTTCTACTGTCATGCAAGGCCCCTTGTTAGTCTAGAACTTTACAACTCAAACTAGACACATTGAAGATTGTGTGAACTGTAAAAAGGAGCGCCACAGGAATTATATTTTTGCAGGGCACTGCAGAATTGTTTAGATAAAGTGTAGCAGGTTGTGTGCTATATTAGATATTTTTGAAAAGGAGTTCAAAGAAACACTAAAACTGATTTTTGATCAGATTTTTAGCTACACAAGTCTTCATTTCTGTTAGATTATTTGATCAGGCTTGAATTCTATAGATTGGGAGTTAAATGCAACCTTGAATACCAATTTTGCATCAGGATTGTTTATGAGTGCAAAGCAGAAGCACATCAGGTGCCCTTTGAATGACTAATCTGAGCCAAAGGTTGCCTTGACTACTGATGACTTTGCATTAATTCTTTAACTTCATCAGACGGTCCAACTCTAACACAGAGCCAGCTAGAGTTGCCAGCTCTGCTTGAGTGTTTACTGCGAGGGTTTGTTTTTCTGATGCTGGGAGCAGCCGTTTTACCGGGACGAAATTCAGCTGCCTGGCGCCAAGTGGAGACTCGTGTTGCAGGAGCACATGGCGACTTCTAGTTGATGCTGTTGGATGTGGTAACGGCATCAGTAGTGGTCAGGGGCTTATTACTGACAGTCATTTTCTTTGTTGTGACACTTTCTTGGTGAATCACATGGATTTATATTGCATTGTTTCTTTGCTGTAGGATTGTTTTTAATCACTGAATACTTTTAGCGTTTAAAAACCTGTGGACTTTCTTTGAATGCATTTAGGATCCTAGATAATAACTGAGATTTTTTAAGAAAATCTGAATTTTGCAACATTTGTCTTTGCATATAGTTTATTTTATCTTCAGTGCAGCAATTTCTTAAAAATTTTAATAGTTTTTTGTGTGCATGTGTGGACACTGTTGAATCATAGTAAATGTGGATGTGAGGCACTCTGAGTAACCAGAGGTGATGTAATATTGCCTCTATAGGGGCCTGTGTGTGTGTGTGTGTGTGTGTGTGTGTGTGTGTGTGTGTGTGTGTGTGTGTGTGTGTGCGTCATCTCTGTGGTTCTGTGCCACCAGTTTGACCCTGCGCCTCTATTCAGCATGTTACAATAGGTCATTTATTTTCTGTGTAGTTTCAAAGTTTCAAAGAACGCTGCTTGGGGAAAAAATAGAACTTGTAATCCTATTTTTTATTTTATTTTTTTTATTAAGGGATAACCAGCTCAAAAGCTAAAGCATTTGAATATGTTAAAACGAATTGTCGGAGCAACAGGTCAGTTTAAGCTCTGTTTTTGAGAATGTACAGAGCCACATTGCACACATATTCCTCCCTAAAACAGATATTTAAAAGAAAAAGATGTTTGACTTTTAGTTTACATTTAGATAGAGCTTTAGTTGAGGGGGAGAACTCTGATGATATTTTCTTTTGGTTTGTGTAGAATGGATGTCTGGACATTGAGAAAGATTAGGTAGGAGCTTAGCTTTAGCATGACCACTAAAAAAAACCACCACAAGGAGGTTCTTAGTGTTTTTTTTCTTTCTCCTAAATCTGGCCCGCTTTGTCCTTACCCTGTTCTTTTAAATTACAAATATAAGTAGAAAAAGACCTAACAAACTAAAGGACATGGTTTTAAAAAAAAAATAAAAAATTGGCAGAACTAAAGCTCAGTTTTTTTAAGGATTTTCCTCAAAATTGGCACCTTTATTCCCACATATAGTTTCCCCCCCTCTTTTAGAATTATGTTGACTCTTTAAAAAAGCATGTATTTATTTTTTTGCTAATTATTCGTCCTCTGTCCACTTTGTATTTATAAAATGGTACATGTGAGTCCTTAAAAAGTCTTAAAAGGCATTGAATTCTTCAAAATAAAACTAAGGCCTTAATTGGTAATAAAATGTCTTAAATCAGTCTTTCGTAGGTCTTAATTTTTTAAAACATCATAAATAGGATTAGTTTTATTACGATTTATTTGTGTAATCTAAATAAAAACGTTAAAATTGTCTTTTTTTTTTTTTTATAAAAAAAAAAAAAATGGCTCGCCATTATTGTTTCCGTCCCGATAGCGGAACCAATAAAAGTGTTGTTGCGGCCGGGACATTTGGGAGATGCACCATTAACTTTTTGTCTGGAAAATATGAGCAAGTGTAGATGTAACGAAAATTGGCTATCCAGCCAAGAGTTTTCTCCATGGCTAAACCATACATGAGGCACAATGTATTTTGTGCAAGAAGCCATTCAAGCTCGGAACGATGAGAATTAAGGCAGTGGAGTCGCACATGCGACCCATGAAACACAAAGCGTCAAAATCAAGTTACCGAGAAACAGCCGGTATTTCTCCGTTTTGTTCCACCCTTGTCTCTGCAACGCCTCCACTTATCACCAAATCAAACATACTAAGAAAACCATACAAAGAAAAATAGCTGCAAAAAAGACTTGGCAATGGTTATGTTGTGGCTTTAAAATTGATAAGTTTTGTTCCCTGCTAAAACAAAGTTTGTGAATTCGGTTAAATAATTGTTAAAATATATCTGTCATTTGTTTGTTTTAGCTTTCTTCCTGTATGGGAAGCTTTTCAAAATTTTAAACATTGGTGCAGTGGTTTATGTTAAAATAAACCTTTGGGTTAAGTTGTCGCAAGCTGGTTTTTCTTGTGAATTTGGTCTTAAATTTTTATTTCAAGTGGGATTAAAAAGTCTTAAAAAGTCTTGAATTTAACTTGCCTTATGCTGTAGAAACCCTGTATAATGTGGAGGTACAGTATACTCACCATGGTGCTAGTTATTGCTTTGGGTTGGTTTTGATCATTGGAGATCACGTCTTAATTGAATCATGAAGTTATACAAGTCTCTAAAAATATTTTTGTTTTGCATTTTGAAAGCTACGGTTTAGATAGTCTTTTTTTTTTTTACAGTGTAAATATGAGGGTAGAAAAATAGCTCACAATGTTCTTTGTCTTCATACAGGTTGACTGTGAAAGCAGATAGAAAACCTATAAAATTATATTTTATTGCAAGGTGTCAAATTTTTTGTTTTTATTTATTAAATAATTTTTTTGACTTTATTATGGTAAAGAAAAAAATGATCATGATCTATAGTCCTTAAACTAGCACTGCAGTATATTTTCAGGTTTGCAGTCCATTTGCCTTCACTAGAAACGGCGATCACGGTTAAAGTTGCATTTAGGTTTTATTTCCCATTTGTCTTGCTTTATGCCTTAGTGCATTTCTTATAAACTTTTCATTCTAAGCTGGAATCCTACATTTACAATATTCTGATGACCACAAGAAAAATGGAAAAAGAGATTATGTGCATTTTTGTTCAGGCTGAGAAAGATTATCCTAGCGCTGCTATAGAAACGCTAAGGGTTTTGTTTTGACTCTGTCAATGTTATCGCCAATCTGCTGGCTCAGCAGAGATATTATAATTTGTTGAAACAATAAAGCGGATTTTTCTTTTTTTGTCTCTTAAATTTGTGACTCAGTATCCAAAATAGTGAAACGGATATCTCTATTTTAGATTGGCTTGATTCCTCACTCTGCTTATAATGTGTCTATCTTGCTTAATACTCAATCATCCCCTTATTTCATTTTAAACTTCTACTCATTTATTTAGAAAAACAGAAGTTAATGTGCTGGTCTTTATTATTCAATTTAGATTTTTTTTGTAGATCAGAAACTTATTCTAACCTAAATCTATTGTATGACGTTGTAGAATGGTCCTTCAACTTAAAGACATATGGGTATATAAAATTATAATTCCTTTCACTTTAGATTGCTTATTTTCCCTTCAGCCAAGTTTTTTTTTTTGTCATTTAACCCTTTAAAAACAATTGTATCATATTTGATACATGAGCTTTTGAGGACTTTGCATCATCAGTTTGATGTTGCTGATTTTAAAAACCCTAACTTACACAATCAAACAAATGTAATGAACAGGAAACGTCTATATTATTCTACAGAAATGCCTAATGTATCAAAATTGATTCAAATAAATGATCTAATTTAACTTATACAATATATATATATATATATATATATATATATATATATATATATATATATATATATATATATATATATATATATATATATATATTCTTTCATTTTTCAGAGTTCAATGACAACTCTAAATAAAAAAATAAATAATTTTCTTTCATTTATTTCTTGGTGCAGGGCTTTAAAGGGTTAATGTCAATTCATAAAGGAAGGGTGGAATTTCACAATATCTTATATTACCTGTTCAAAGGATTAAAGAAGAACAACAAAGAGGACTCATATTCACAACCCCATTGGGTGCCTAATAGAAGCTTTAGAAGTATAAGTATAGTACTATATTACTATATTATTATACATAAGTATAATATTATATGCATACTTTTTTCTCCCCCAAATGTTGATCTACTGGGTCTGTAACATTTGAATCAAGTGCTGTTTTCTTTTTAAACATACATTTTCTCAGAGTCTTAAAAGACAATGGAAATAAGACTCAGATGGTCTATTTATTTTATCCCAGTAGCGTCCACAGGCTGTCAGATTACACAGGTTAATGAAGGATTCTTAGTCCATAATTTTAATGAGGAGTTAAGGAAACTGTTTGCAGTGAGGATGTGTGGTTGCAGATACAGAGGGGTGTGGCTGGTCTACTTTACAATTTGGATGAATGGAAGAACAACTACTGTGAATGCCTGGGTTATTATTCAGAGCAGTTATTGCACCACCCAACCATCAACAAAAAGACACATAAAAAAACTATTAGGATGTGTGTGAACATGCATTATAGCGCGGGAGGACATTTTAATAAAGAATGAGCCTTTTTTTATAATTATTGCTGCATTTTTAATCAGTTTTATCCTAAAGGAATCTATTCAAAAAAGTGCCTTCTGTTATTCTATATTTATTTTTCTGTGTCCACGGTCTCATAGAGCCGTCCATTCAATGTCCTGAAGGGTTTGGGGTTCATGAATGGAAAAAAAAGCATGGCCTGTCTCCGTTGGTGACTTTAAATCTTTTTTTTGTGCTGCTAAACATACTCTGCATCATGAAGTCATCTTGCTGAAGGGGTTTCTCACTGAAGGGCCAGACTGAGACCCACAGCTCTAATAGTGATGACTCTGCAGCAGAGCTGCTTTGCAGATAATGTGCAACTTGTAAGCTAAGCATTTATGCTGATGGGGTATCCGACTTTGATTACAAGCAGTTTTATCTGGAGACATCTATTGACAGATGCTTTAACAAGCTTAGCTGGAGAAATAGGATGCCTCTCAGACTTAAGGTGCACTTGTAATGATTAAAAATCATTATATTACCAAACAAAAATATATAGCCACTCTCCTGATTTTAATGGCTCCGCCTGTAATGGCTGAATTTACACATTACAACTCTACATATTTTATTTTTATTTTACAGGCAGTTTTTCTTTTTTTCCTTTTCTTGTGGAACATGTTTTAGCTAGAAGATTTTAACGCTCAAGTTATTACTAAATAAAAACCCTGAAATTCGACTAGGATCAAGAAAAGATGAATCGGATCTGGGATAAAAGAAAAAAACTTTCTGAAATTTCTGTTGAAATAAAAAATTTCTGATTGATAGAACAGATACGTTTTGCTACTCAAGTTTTTCTGAAAGTTTTTCCTTTTTTCACTTTCTCTTTTCAATCCATTACTACACGTCTGAATATCTATGCATGATAGCAACAGTGTCAGATTTCCCACACACATTGCTCATCAATAAAGGTGTTTTGGATTGATTTATACTGACTTGGATTTGCAACCACACTCCCTAATATGAACATTTTACCTTTCACTGCTGTGGTTTTTACTCACTAAATCAGGTATGTTTTATATCCTAGAGAAATTAACCGTTTCAGCTTGAAACAGGCATTAACTGTAGCTGGATAGTCATTCTAAGGTGAAACAAGTCCTTTCCACTGCCTATTACAAAATACGCATCTTGAGTAATGAACATTATGTAATGCTTAATCTTTGAACACCTCATGACATCACCCAAAAGTTTTAGTCGTGCTCGCAGATTTGTTTTATAGTGGCTTAAGGAGAATTAAGTGAATATTTTAACCCCACGTTGGGCATTATGAGCAACGTGGCCTACAAAGCAGTCCTGTCCAGGAAGCTGTGGTGAGAAACTTGTGAAAGGGAAACATTTCTTTAAAGTTATAAACCATAAAAAAGATAAAAGTAATAAAATACTCTTCCCCTATTCATTTCAGCATTAAAATATAGGCTGATTCTTTGCTATATACATTTACATCATTCCACCTCTGTGCTTTAGTTAAGTCATTATAGCTATCCTTTTAGTATTCCAGCACACAAACCAAAGATGAACCCCTTTAGATCAGTCTTCCTCTTGCTGAAAAAACAACTGTATCTCCTGTCTCAAAGGCTTGTTTCTCCCTGAGCTACTTTTAGTGTGTTGATAAAGTGATAAATTAGACAGCTATGCCAGCATTACCTCAGCTCTGCTGCTTTCCAGGCACACAGACACTGAGACGACCCACGTACTGGCACAGACGACAACAAAGCTTTAAATCTGTCTGAAGAGCCAAGTTCTGGCAGTTTGTTTTTTTATGTGTCTGCATACCCATGCATTGCAGTGACAGTTTTATTTTTATATATATATATTTTTTTATCTCTGACTTCATATCAATCTAGCAACGAGCTTTTTCTGCATCTACATTTGGTTTCTATTCTATTCCCTCTGATTTTTCTTTTTCAATCTTTATTCTCTTCTTATAAATGATTTATTATAAGGCCTAATCAAAAGCTATATGTGTTTTCCGTTGCATTAAAATCAGTGTTGCAATCTCCAAATATGAATTACTTGTGAATAATGGAGTAATGACTTGTCTGTAGCAGGGAGCATGTTATACATTTTAACTTGGATTGCTTTGTTTTTCCTCCAACAGAAAGAGATTCAGGCCATGAGCCAGTGCCACCACCCCAACATTGTTTCTTACTACACATCCTTTGTTGTGAAGGATGAACTGTGGCTGGTTATGAAGCTGCTCAGTGGGGGTGAGTGCATACAATTTGTCTTTAGAGTTTCCTTCCCTGCTAATCTGCCAAAATCCTTACCTCTTTCTTTCACAAACAAAGTGGCAAGATTATAAACGGGCATTGTGCTGATGGAAAATAAATGTATTTCAATAACAGGATAAGGGCGGTTTGTTTCATCTCGCTGGTCGTTATTCCTCTCGATATTCTTCTGGTGAAGATAGGGTGGCACCCAGAGGAGCGGGTGGACTTGGTGCCTGTGATTTACCTGTTAATACAGGGATTGTGACGCCACAGATTTTCATTGTTTTCCCCTCTGAGATGCAGCTCTCTGTGGTCTTTAACTCGTTCCAGCGCTAATGACAGTGCAGAGGTAATAACAGCCCACATGGCAACCATGTGGCAGTGCTGCAATTACCAAGTAAAAGGAGCACGAAGAGGAGGCCACCATAACGTACCGATCATCCAAAGCAGACGTTTACATCTACTTACATTTTTTTTTCTCTTTTATTTATAGAATTAAAATAAAAAAAAGCATCACCTGTTGTAATTGTGTTTTTCTGTCAGCGTGTATTTTCCAGATTTGTTGGAGCTAGTACAGACAGGTCTTTCTCTTATCTTGCATACAGTACTGTATAAAAAATTTAGTCTCTTGCACAAGTATTGATGCCTTGTCTCTTGTGGTTTTTACACACGTGCTTTTGTTCCAAGCACAAAGTTTAATGTATGTTTTTGTTCTCTTATGTCATAGGGCAATGCAAAGTAGTGCATAATAATGAAGCACAACTAAAATCACGTCCATATGAAATACTACAGTTTGGTCTGCCATATTTAATCCAACAAAATACTTTTAAAGTTTGTAAGTCTACCTCTACAAAAAGAAAACAAAAGGTTCAAGGCCCCTCATTGTACGACTCTGCATCTGTCTGTGATGACTGCATCCTGCTCTAACGGCTCATGCCCAGGTGGTGTGCCAGGCTTACACAGAGGGCAGTTGCTTGCAGCTGGGCTCAGGGCGCCATGCCCGCCAAGCGACGCTTGAGCAGACAGTCAGCCTCGCAGCAGGGGCAGACGCAACTTAAGATGGCCTTGTTCCCTCTCGTCCCTGTTAAACAGAAGCTCTTGATGTTGAGCTTTATTGAGTGGAGTAATTAAACGATAGCCGTGCCGACGTCTGCCATGGAAACAGACCTCATTGAGGTTGAGTTTATAGAGCATCACTCCACAGGGTAGAGCATACCAGACTAGAACGAGAGCAGCTCTTGTCTGATTGTCTGGGCTGATGAAGCACAAGAAAGCGCCCACCCTTAACCCTCATCCCAGCTTTTTTTTTTTTTTTTTTTTTAAGCAGCCCAACGGTTGATCAGACAATGCCAAGTCTTTTTTTTTTTTTTTATATTATTATTATGAGAATGGCACCAGACTGCATTCTTACTTCTGATGTACTTGAGCTTTCCACGGAAAACTTTATTAAAGTAACACAAAATCAAGCATTTCAAAAGAGGACTGCATAACCCTGCACTGTTTGAATTTTTACCCAAGATTATCTGTCATTATCTCCCCCATAGAGACTGATCAAGATGCATACACTTCCTAGAGATATCAAGGACTTCCCTCTTTACCTGCCACCCCTTCTACAGATGTTATTTGGATTGCTTTTTGAAAGCAGTTCCATAATAATGTATTGAAATCCTCTGCTCTTTATAAAGTAAAAATTCCAACCTGTTAGCTTTAATGGGAACCAGCCGTTTGATTACTGTACAAAGTAACTGATCCATAACTGTTCATACTGATCCATAACCATGTGTTGAAGCATAAAGAGGGAGATGTGGCAGTAAATAGAATCATTCTATTTGTCTGATCTGCATCGACTGGCGACAGACCAGTCAGAGTAAAGAAGCCATAGTTTTTCCTTTATAAAACTAACAATACCAAAGACTTACTAGGCCATGCTGGTGACTCTCTGGTGTAGATGTTGTTACTTTTTGAAGAAAAAAATTGAATTCAATCTTTTTTTTTATTGTATCTCTGGTTCATTCAGGCAGTAAGATGATAAGAGAGAGCAAGACTTTCAATGGATAACAGGAAGACAAAGATATTGCATTGATGTTTCTCTGTTTTGTTCCTCTTGAGCTTTCAGTCTTGTCATGTTGCAAGAATAGATAAGGAAATCTTAAGGGTCTAGATCTTGACAATAGACATAGAGATTTCTATTTTTATAATTCTAGCCATCCCAACTGGGATAATATTGCATAAACAATGTGAAAAAAAAATGTTAACTCTATATTCATGTTGTTTTTTCTTTAAATAAAACTGTTTAATGGTGACTACTTTCTCTAATGAATAACCAATAAAGACTTGGGTCAGGAAATCTAGAATAAAATATCTCCAATGCTCTTCTTGTATCTTAAATTAGAATCAACAGTTTTAGGTGTCACAAAATATAAAGATCTGAAAAGATCTTGCAAAAAGCTGTGATCCAAGCATCTCTACCCGTGTCACAAGTTGTGCAATACTCATTTTGCACATTTTAGCTGTATTCATTCAACAAATGGGTTCAATGTTATATATGTTTTCATATGTTTTCATAACTGAAAACATATGCCTCGTGCAAATGTGCCACAGGTGGTTTAACACCATTTTCCATTTCTGGTGCTTTATCTCCAGATGATAATTAAAAGGAAAGTGAAAAACATGGAATCAGATTTTAAATTAAGAAACATGTTTAAGGTCGGTTTATTTTTTAAGGAGGAATTTAGAATTATGCAGACCACGAAGCAAGGATTTAAACCTGTTAGATGTTGTGTAACCACAGTTTGTGGCTGTGGTTTGGCTGTCTTCTCAACAATATTCTCCTAAATTGATCAAAAAAAATTAACATTTTTAAACTTTGACCCAGCAAAGAATGCAGCTCCGATAGAGGCTTCCTTCAATCTGAGCCCACAGTGATATTTTTACACCCTCCAGGCTTGCTGCAGTTCCTCCAATGCCCCACCCTCACTTTCCTCCTACAGCTTCACTTGGCATTCCACTAAAGCTTTCAGCGCAGTTGGCACCAGGTTTCATGTCCTTCATCTACTTCCTCACCCCCCCGATTCTCCCATCCTCTCCCTTTGTCTCCCAGCTGCTGCTCTATTTAAAAGAACAAAACAGCTAGAAGGTGATGTTCCCTGTTGCAGTTTGTTTAAAATTCAAAGGCGGCGATATATTTGCCTAATCCTGTGTGTAACTGAACCTATGATTTGGCATTTTCCGGAGTATTTGCATGCTCTTTGGAGCTCTGCCCTGTCAGGACTTAATTTACTTGCTGTGATTTGTATAAACTCTTCCTGAAGGGTTTTAGAAAGGCAGCTTTCAAATTAGTCTTACGGGTGTCTTGCCTTACCCATGCTGAATGGACCTTTGCACCGTTAACCCGTCAGTATGTGTCAGCTCGCTGAATCAACCTAATGAGGCATGATACGTTCGATCAGATGAGTTTAATTTGAAGAGGGCTGACAAGGCTGGCATTTAGTGAGAATCCAAAGCCTGCGTCATGCTGTGTGTGCTTCTGAGCACATTTCCTGGTGCCAGCCGCTGGAAAGGAGACTCTGCTTGTTTACAGCCAGTCAGGAAAAAAAGTGTTTGGCCAGCAGGATAGGTCTTTATTTACAGTACCCTGTAAAAGTATGAATGCTTTTCACATTTTGTCTCCTTACAGCTGAAAGACTTAAACGTATAATAATGGTTCTGTGATAAGCCAAGTCAAAGTAAGGTGTTATTATAAAGTAAAGCAAGATGATGCATGGTTTGAACGTTTTTGCACTCAGATCTGAAAGCATTGTGTATTCAGTCTGTTTGCTTTTATTAGGGGTTTCCTGACGCAACCTTTTTATTTCTGACATAACGATATTAGAGCTTTCAAATCGGACAGACGCTGATACGGACGCGATATGGTATCAGCATGAATCATAAATACCTTTAATGCTTGTTTTTTAGTGTGAAATGATAAAAAAGGCTAGATCAAATAGCTAACAACATCAGTTATCTTATTTCTCATTCACCAAAGAGTTGCATAAACTTTAAACAAAAGTGGATAGAAGCCAAGTGTTTCTATTATTTTCGCAGATTTCAGACGAACTGTAAACAGTTCTCTTCAGGGTTTTAGTTATTCTGGTACCTGCAGTTTGTACCACATACCTGAAAAACATTAACATCTACTTGACATCTACCAGCTGCCACAAACGGTAGCAGCGGGCCTGAGGCAGCTGCTGCTGGGGATTCCCAATGACAGCGCAGCTGCGTTTTAAGGCGGGATCGCAATCGTGATTAACTGACTGCACAGACGATGTTTTTAGGTGGACTGTCTAGCGAAAATGAAGCTGCAACGTTTTGATTTGAGCAGCTTTTTTTGCTCAAATCGCAGTGTGAACGTAGCATTTGACTTTCAGATTGATTGAATTAACCCACGAAACATAATATTGTACAAAAAACTGTCATGTCTTCCTTATAAAATTCCACATCTACTGAGGCACACAAACTTCCCATAAGCAGGACAAAAGCAGTGTTGGAACGGAGACAAAAAGTTTGCTGCAATCCACCTTAAAATCTAGAAAATGGTGTTTCAGAGAGATTTTCTGGGTGACAATACCCCCGGACCCCCCTATGCCACCCAAAGCCTAAAGATTTGATACACAAAGGTGTACACCCTATGAAATATTCCTAGCTAAAAGCCTGGTTCTCTTCCATAAAAAAAAAAAACGAATTTTGGAACACGAGAGAAGGCATCACTCTCTGCCACAAGTGAAGGAGTTTAAATATCTAGGTATCTTATGAATGATGGATGCAGCAGGAGATGGAGTGACACATCGGGGCTTCATGTGCACTGATGCCTGCGCCTCTTAGCTTTATTCTATGGTTAAGAAAGGAATGAGTTGCCGAACAGCATTCCGACCCTTTACTGTTGGTTAATATGGAAATATGCACAAAAAGAAGGCCCTAGGTAAAACATTTGTATAAATAGTTTTAAACATGTTCTTCCACATTTTGATTACTTACAATTTGGTTTATCAGCACAACCTGAGCAAGATAAGGGATCTGTTTGCAGGAAACTGTAACATTTCCTCAGCTTTTCTTTGTCTCTGGCTCAGTGGTTGATAAATCATTAAGAATTCATTAAACTCCCCTTTGGCCCCTCTTGTTTTTCTGCTGCTCTGCAGTAACACTAACTGTTATCCAGGTATCATGGCAGCTCTGTAAGGCAAAAAGATCCTAAAATATTTAAAGAAAGTTCAGATCTTTAAACACTGAGCCAGACATTGCTATTTTCCTGGGATTTTTGTTTTTCTTTTTTCACCTCTGGACCATTTCCAGGTCCTGTTTAGCTGTGCTGTAGCTAAACTTGTGCACAAAAGAGAGGCAGACAGACGGAGCAGCAGTGTGATGTTGATGCAGTTGTCTTACTGGTGAACAATAAAGCTTGTCAAGCAAGTCACATTCATTTCAACTTCTCTGCTTTGTCTGTATTCAACTATGTCGCACACTTTTCTGTCAAACCAAACGCAAATAATGGACCTCTCATCAGAGGGCTCCCATTTGTTTGCTTGGAAAGGTGCACAAAAGAATTGGCAAACGGACTTATCAGCGTGAGTTCTCCTTTGTGACGCTGGAGCCAGACTGGGAGAGACGTAGTGACCTGTCTCTTTGGGCCAGGTTTAGTCAGCAGAGACCCCCCCACCCCCTGACTCTGCATTCAGGGAAGACAAAGCCGCCAGTTTGATTTGTAATCACTTTAACCTGAAACCCTGCAGATTTTATGTCATTCATTTCTATCTTTTTAACATTGTTTGTTATAATCTCATTATAAAGATGTTATAATAAACTCAAATGTAGAAATTAGAAACCTTAACACCTCCACAGTTTTTAACCATAATCTGGACATACAAAAATTAACCAAAATATAGAATCTTTATACACCAATAAATAAGCATGATAAACCAAGAAGTTTGCTGGATGGATGCTGTTCTGTCGGCATATCTACCATAATCTCGATAAAATATTTTTCATTAGTTGATAATCACTTATAATTTCCAAATTTGGAAGCATAAATATGATGATTGTTTGGCTTCGAGGGCCAAAGTTACCGTAAGATTTTAATGTCAGCGGAAAATAAGGTGTTTATAATTGAATCTAGCCTTTAGAAAAATGTATGAAAATGTGTGGTGATCTTTTTCTTTTTCTCATGTCCAAATGGAAAAGTTACAAAGCTGTTTACAATGAAAAGGTCAAAAGTTTTTCCTCCTAAATAATCAGATTACTTGGAATGTGGGAGAGGGCAGTTTTGTCAATCTCAAATTGAATTTTTACGACAGGATTATGGATTAATCTTCTGAGTCATCTTAAATGACTTTTTCATCTCTCATTGATGTGTATTTTTTTTCATTTTCTAAAGGTCTATTCAGCAATTTAATCCAAGAAAAACACGTTTCCAAAGTTTAGCCATATTTTTGTCTTGTCTGTTTGCTAGGTTCAGTGCTGGACGTGATCAAGCACATTATCTCACGCGGCGAGCACAAGAACGGCGTCCTGGACGAGGCCAGCATAGCCACCGTGTTGAAAGACGTGCTCGAGGGATTGGAGTACCTACACAAGAACGGGCAAATCCACAGGTAGGCCCTTTGCAGCAGTAAAAGAAAACTAATATAAGGGTTATGGAGGAGATTAAATCTTCTGGCTCTGTTGCTCCTTAAGTATGGTGCAAAAACATTGATTTATGGGTAATTAAACCAACTTTAACATGAGGCAGCTCCCCCACCATAAGAGGTGTTGGATATGATCTATCGTTTGTTGAATAAAGAAAAAAAATCCTGTTCTAATTTGGAGGAAAGGCAACGCTTTTTTTTAGACAATATAATAAATGAAAATAGTTTGCCATTTTTTGAATGATTTTATCTATGGCCAATTTAACAAATAACAGTATTTTGCATTCGCACTTTTTTCAATTCAACTTTGTTTGTTTTTAACATATCATCTTAGTGAAATAATATGTTCCTTAAAATAAATGAAATAATGTTATTTTCTGGCCTGAAAAAATATGCTTTGCCAGTAAATAATTTCATCTTCCGATACACTTGGCCAGTGAGTCAAAAAGTTAATTTCGGATTCTGGATCCTTGTATCTGTGTTTATGGCAATAAGCTGGCCTCGGGGCAAATACAACAATTATAGACAAAAATAAAACAGCCGTGTTGTTGCCCTTTTAGGAACTCATTAGAAAAATGTCAGAAGATCGCGGCTTTATTAGATCTTATCCTCAGGCTCTAATGTGATTCGTGAGAAAGAAAAGTTAAGGTTGTCCCATAGAAGGAAAATAATGTATGTTCTTGCCGAGGAGGGGGCTGTCTCAGTGAACGTGTCACTGGGTGTTTAATGTCATTTGGAGATCTAGAGGATGAGGAGAGGGCTCTGGGACTGTGGATCCATGAGAACAAGGACAGCAAGGAAATGTCACACGACTTCTTCCACCCGTCACCGGACAGCTGAAAAGCAATTAGAGCCTCACTGACCGAGGTTCAGACTCGGCTGCAGGCATTTACCACAAGACAGTGAAGCGTTCCACCTCCTTTTTCTCAGCAGCTTGGAAAGTCTTTACCAGGGACCGAAATGTTTACAACAGGTGGACATTATATCACATGAGAAATGCCAGATTTCTTTTCCAGTTAAAAAAGTCTCCCCTTCACACCTGAACTGGAATTTTGAATTTAAATTGCAGTCTTGCAAAAGTGCTGATGCTAGCATTATTTCATACATCAACAAACATCAGTTCTATAATGATTTAAGATGACTTCAGATATTTTTCGAACCCCTATCCACCCACACCTGTAGCACAGAACCGAGACCAGACCCATTATATGTGCGGCTGTCCTTCGTTAAAACCCCAACAGTTCACGGACCAGTAATTACAAACTGTACACACAATCACTTATTTTTATTAGGTGCTTTAAGCCAAAAGATTCTTTATTTTTGTAGCTTCAGCTGAATGCAGAGGTCCAAACACATTGCCTGATGCCTGCACTGCTCTCTCAGATGACCGGGGTAAACAAGCCGAATGCACAAGGACTTTCCCTCTCACAAGCGCAAACTCACACATGTGCATCACTTTTTGCCGTGCATATAAAACATCAGGTAAAACAAGCCTCTTTCAAAACAACTGTTCAATTTCACCGGGAATTAAACAAATAAAGTTAAAAGTAGGATTCATGACTTATTGAGTGCAATATATAACTATTTCAGAAGCATTCACTTCCTGCTCTAAAAATACTTTAGAGCTCAATTTAACTTATTCCAATGTCACTGCTTATTTCATTAGTCACTGATATTGCAGGAAAATATTGTGATGTGTTGTGAAACTCGTACAAGTCATTCACTCTGAAATTCAAATCTCCAAAGAAGAGCAGCATGTAAAGAAACAATGTTAAAAAATATCCGTAAGAGCTTCCATTTGCAGTTATCCTGAAACCATGTAAGGAACACAGCAGACATTTGGTAGGAACAGATTCCAGTCACATAAAAACATGAAAATTTTTGGCTTGCATACAAAGGTCTGTGTGGGACTGAAAACTAACGTTGCGTATCTCCATTCTCAATGCAAAACACAGTGGTGGCAGCATCATGATGTGGCAATTGAGTTCCTCACAAGAACAGAGATGGCAGGAAGATGACTCAAGCTAAATACATGGCAATCCCAGAAGAAAATTTTTTTTTAAAGACTTGAGCTGGAGAGAATATTCACCCTCCTGCAGTACAACGACCCAAAGCCCAGATGTAAATCCACTCTAAGGTTTGTAGGAAGACCTTGAAACACATGTATCCAGATGCTCCAGATCTAATTTCACTATAAGCAAGCTATTTGGCTATGAAATAAGGATACAAGTGTCAGTCTTTTGATGAGCAGAGGTAGTTGAAAAGGAAGTTTAAAAAAACGAAAAATAGCTTCCAGCTGTAATGGGAATGAAACTTGACAGAGCTGGGCTGAATACAAATGCATAAAACTCTCATTTGTAACTATATGCAACGCATACAATCCTATTAAAACATTTGTAGGTGCCAAATTTTAAAACGTACTAATTTTGTAGAGAAATCTGCCTAAAAGAGATTTGAAAAGCAAATGAGAGATATTTGCTGTGTGTTAGAGGACATGCTTTAGATGTGTCTATTTTCTCAGTTAATAGCTATGGGAATGAAATTCAGCAGTATGGAAAAAGCTATCAAAATGTAGTTCCAGGGGAAAGATAATATGCGGGCCATAAGGGTATTCTTAAACAGGGGCGAGGATGGAAAAGGTTATTTTATTCCTATATATGGCCCACAGAGCATCCAATAAAGCCTCTTTTACAGCTCTGTTAGGAACACAGTGAGCCTGGCACTGAGATGTAATGTCTTAGGAGTTGACCCATTGGTGCTGCAAGGTGCATGGCTGCCAGATGAAAATGATAAATCTCCTAGACAGTTTCATACCATGGCTGTTCCCACCTGGCTGCTAGCCGGCTAATATATCAGTATGTCATAACTTTATGAGGGCAGGATTTGTGTACTGTTCAATATCCACTTCCCTATTTCAGAAAAAAATGGAAGATTTTGATTTAATTTGCCTCTGCACATTAAAATCAAGTCCGTGTAACAGTGATTGTTAAGGCAATTTAAAGCAGAGTTATAGGATTGTTTTTCCAACTCATCTAGTGAGGCTTTATCTTGAACTTATATGGTGCACTGTGTCAGCGAACCTCCTCCTCCATCCTCCTCTTCGTCTTGTGTGAATGTTAATGAATGCCTGCACTCTGCAGCCTTTCTCAGAGCATTACGATCTGCTGCAGTGAACCATGGCGTCTATGGCTTTTAAATGAGGGCACAAAGATTGCATTGATCACTCCTCATAGATTGCTTTTTTCCCCACATATAATGATAAAGGATATTAAAGCAGAGATGCACCTTAAAATAGCAGTTTGTATCTGAAATATACATTTTCTTGAAAGTAATTTTAACAGGCTGTAAAGACGCATATTGCCCTTGCACTGGATGGTCTAAAAAAGATTAATAATAATAAAAAAAAATGGATTAAAAAACTGTTTGTGGTCAATAAATCCAAGTTAATCTTAACCTCAGAACTTCCGTACAAGTACTTTATGCTTTTGCTTGATAAATTATGGAGTGATGATTTTTCTGCCAAAATGATGTGTACAAAAATGCATGTTGCGCACACACATAAATCATGTTGCACTCAAATAAATTACAAACTCTTATCTAATGTCACACACAAATAAAACCTTTTTTTTCAATCTGTCCTTAAATGTTGCACACACACAAAAAATTAGTTTTACAAACCGGAGTCTAACATTGCACTTAAAATATAATTTGTAAATTGTCCCCGAGTGCAAAACGATCTCTGCTCGCGTACGAGACAATTCTTCACACTCCGCGGTAAGTTTCTGCCAAAAGTCACGTGAAACCTGGAGAATTGTCATTCTGACTAACCGACAGCAGGAGGCGCCATACAATCAAAACAAGTGAAACTTGTGGGTGTTACATCGAGCTGCGTTTCCCCATCAGATACGGTTTCCCCTGCATCTCCGCACAGCGCAAGTGGCACGAAGCCTATATGAAAGGGAGAAATCTGGATGGATGGATGGATGGATGGATGGATGGATGGATGGATGGATGGATGGATGGATGGATGGATGGATGGATGGATGGATGGATGTTTCGTATGCAAGCAGAGATCATTTTGTTCCAAGGGCGTAGGTTTGATTTGAACTTTGGTGGGGACACTATTGGTCTGGTGTCATTGGTGCTGCAATATGCGTGCCCTTTTTTATGCTCGATGTGAGCATCCGTACTGATAAGACGAATTCATTGTTAAAAGAGAAAAGCATCATTTTGCTACATTAATAAAAAATTGTATAATCACTACACTCATTAGATGCTGTTTATCAATGTTTGAAGTATCACTGGCTCTGATGAATGTGGAATTAGGACTGTTTTCCACTTTGTAAATGGTTTCATTTGCATGACTAATAGAGAAGGTAAATACAGTATTTTCTTTTGAAGATATACAATTGTGCAGAGTTAAACCCCACTCTTATATTTTACCTACTATGCTCTCTCTGTATCAAGCAAAATAATACATTCATTAAAATATTAACTTCACTATAAAAGTTGAACATCTGGGCTCTAGTTACTCTGTATAGCCCATTTCATGTATTTTATCTAGGGCTGAAAAAATGTATCGTATTAATTTATTATTTCAATAATCGTCAACTAATTTAGTATGTGATTAATCATTAACTGGAGAATGGAGACTATAAAACATAATATAAATGTAAAATAAATGTCCCTTTCCCCTATAGAGCAATCAACTTAGATCAGTAATTATACCAAAATTGTAAAAATACAATATATATATATAAGATTAAAAAAAAATTTTTGTCTGTCAATATTCTCCATCCAGAACTCCTCATGTGGAAATATTTTAGTTTCACCTGGTTTATTTAGACATCACCTGAAGCACTGAAGGGCAGCTGCTTCACCTACAAGCTGCCCTGCATCATTATTACTGGATATCTGTGTTTCCTATAATCATATAATGTATAAGTGCAATTTTAATAGTAAAGGATTAAATGTTACACAACCTTTTATCATTGTCCTATATTGCTTACTGTCTGACTGTTTAAATAGCTCCTTACTGTATGTCTATTTTCTTTTTTAGTGGAATCATTTACAAACACAACACTAAGAGTGAGCCTAAGTGTATTCAAATATAAAATAATTTTTAACAATTATAAAAGACAATATAACACTATCTTATCTGTAATTTAACATTATCCAAAATAAACACCCAGATTCAAGCATTTTTACCAGACATTAATGTTTGTACTAATTTACTTAGACTGTGTGGAAATCTATGTAAGATAAAATCAATGTTTATATTCTTCCTTTGTTTGTTATTGTCTTTATCCTATTTCTAGAAGTATAAATAGTCAATAAAATAGAACTATTATTATGTGGAACCCTAATTATGCTTTTTAAATGAAAAACAGCAGATGATTAGCCACCATTTCTTGTTGTTGTACTCTATAAGAGAAATAACGCCTGCTAATAATTATACCTGAACTTTCTCAAAGAGTCATAAAAAATGAAAACAGTAATAGCAACTAAATATTGGGAAAAAGGAAACCCTCACATTTTCTTTTTTAGTTGGCTGTGGATAAGAATCGAACAGCCTTTATTTGCCCATTTTGTGTCTTCAGAAATCCTGGCTGACTCAGAATATTTCGCTTTATAAAAGAAAAAAAAAGGTTTTTGTTTTTTAGTGTACATGATATTCATTTTTTTTAATTGGGACTTGTTTTGTAGCCTAATATTTATTGTAGTAACCGCTGCATTCTAGTGTGAATACATTTTCAATTTTGTGCTCCAAGCACGCCAGGACTAGAAAACAGCCAATCAGAGAGAGAGAAGGCGGAACCTAAGGCAGTACAACCAATGAGAGTGGAGTTAAACAGTGCAGCACAGCGCTGCGCTGCTACGTGAAAGGGACAGGCTAGAGCAGGCAGAGGAGCTGCGAGAGGAAAAGAAGCCTCTGCTGCAACAACTACTGCTGTAAATTATAAACATGTTGCTCACATCCAATTATTGGTCGGGACAATTAGGTCGGTTCAAAACTTTGGTAGGGACATGTCCCTATGGTCCCTATGCAAACCTACGCCCATGTTTTGTTCTCAAGGACAATTTACAAATTATATTTTCAGTGCAATGTTAGAGTCCGGTTTGTAAAACTAATTTTTGTGTGTGTGCAATATTTAAAGCTACAGTGTGTAATAATTACAGGGAGATACAGTCAGAAATGTAATATATTATACATAACTATGTTATTTATCATCATCTACGAGCTCAGCCTTTTAACCATAATATTTGCGTTGCCTTAGAATTCGTTATTTATAATTACATAGGAGCAGGTCTCGCAGCCATGGAGGCAGACATCTTTGCGCTACGGCAGCGCAGAGCCAACAAACTAGCGATTGCGAGATCGCCCATTACGTTCAAAAGTAACTACGGCAAGTTGAGAGAGATGAACTGAGACGGTACTGAACTCTCTGGGGTGGGTGGGGGGGTGTTCATGTTGCTCCGGTCTGCAGACTGGACGTTGGATGTCGCTAAAAGTTACACACTGTAGCTTTAAGGACTGTTTGGAAAAAAAGCTTTATTTGTGTGTGACATTACAGTAGATGAGAGTGTGTAACACAAGTTTTATTTGTGAACAATAAGATTTATTTGAGTGCAACATGTTTATTTGTGAGTGATAAGATTTGTTAGTGTGAAACATGCTTTATGCATTTGCAACATGGTTTATGTGTGTGTGCAACATGCATTTTTGTGCACAACGTTTTTGCAGAAAAATCACTCCACAATAAATGCAGTGTGTATTTGGCTTACATGTAGTGTTTTGACAGCTGTTGATGGTTGGGTCCCACCTGATTCTGACCATAGATACCTCATCAGTCTGACATATTTAAAATTCCCAAATAGCTTGTCTTTTTTTTTTTCTCTTGAATACTTTAACATCCACCTTACATTGCAAGTAGAACAGCTAATCTTGCTCCCAGACCTGTTAATTTAAGTCTGCTTGATTTTAGTCAAAAAGATTTGTCAAAAGGTTTAAACGGAAGCTTTGTTCTCCATCCATGTTCAGAAAATGGTCTCTTTGAATAGCACCTCACCACTACTAAAAAGCTACCTTTGGTTGTCATTCACATACAGCCTTCGGGTGATTCCACTGTTTGGAGAAAAGATTTGTTTTTCATTTTATCACCAGTCATTTAGATTTAAACAAAAAGGTTCTCCAGTCTCTATATCGCTATTTTTCATTTATTTAAAATGTATTCAGGACAAGCTGAAAACTGTTAGAATATAACTTTAAGTTTCATTAATTTATCTATACTTTGTTTTGATAAGCATTATCTGACCCCAGAAATGCCTTTAAACTGTAGGATGTTTCCTCTTCAAACCCTTTTTTTGGAGCAGCTTCCTAAATAACCCGATGCCCTGTATTTGGGTTGTACTTGTTGCAGAGGGCCGAATATCCAGAGAGTGCAAAAAGCAGGAAGATAATGCAGCCTGGTATCACCCAGCAGCAAAGTGACAGACTAACACTCTGAAACCATTTCCAGCTCAGAGGTCTGTTGCACAGATCTATCTGTGGTTTTAGAAACCACTTGCAATGAAGGTTTTTCTTTTAAATTTTTCATTTATCATTCATCCAAACCTCTGTTCTTTATTAAATCATCATCGTGACAGCTTTGTAATTAAACTTGTCTAGACATAAACACTCATCAAAGTTGCAAAACACGTAGAACACAATCAGTGGTCTGCTCAGACTTAAAAAAAAAAACATGCAGAGGATAAACTGCTTACAAAAAGCGCAGGTACATATATTGCCCAGCTTCATGCTCTGCCTGCCCCAGTTTTCCTCTTCCTTAACATGGGAATTCCCGTCTTCTGCTGTGAAAACAAGCTAATGCATCACATGTGTTAAATTTGTCCCTCTGGTGTTTGCCTGTCCCTGCTCTTGTTGCTTAAAGATTTGTTGGTTGTGTGCTAATTTCCTAAAGCCCTGAGCGAAATGAACCTCTCCACTTAAATGTAAAGCAGCCTGTAAACTGGGATCTGATCCTTTCTAAACACTCCCCAGTAAATGACCTCTCTATGCAGTTTGTATGTATTTTCTATTTTAATACAGTTCCTATAATATTCTACTTTAATTAAAAGTTTATTTAAGCTATGTGTGCAGGAATGATCCCCCAAAGCACTGATTCTTCTATTTAATCAGAAGCAATGTGTTTTACTCCAGCACCCCCATCTGGTGGCAACATGAAATTGCTCCATAGTTTATAGCAGTCTAAGGTCTCATTTTTCTGACGTCCCCTATATGTTGTTGCTGAGGCAATCTTTAAATATTATGTTCGGTGTCATCTTTGCGTGATATTTCTTCCTTTTGTTTTATAACGTCAATAAAAGACAGTTGAGAAACGGTGACTGCCATTCTCACGCATGCATCCCCGGCTTTCGGCTGACCCGCCGTCTCCGTCTCTAAAAGTCTGTCGCTATGGCAACGCTGTCTGGCAGGGGAGATGGCAGTATTCAATGTGTGTGGCAGACAGTTGTCTCTGCCTGAATCTTCTTATCACCAACAAGGGAAGCAGAGCAGGGATAAACAAATTAAGTGCAGACCACGCATGTATATTATAGCCCCAAGAAAGACAGAATGAAATGTGAGGGTAGGAGCCTGGAGCTTAGGTACCAATTTAGATGGCAAAAAAAAACGGTCAGCTCTAACCAAATGCTGGCTTTCTGTAAGACTTATGTTCAAATTTTATATTTCTTATTTTTGCAGAGATCTCAAGGCTGGAAACATTCTCCTTGGAGATGATGGTTCTGTGCAGATTGCAGGTATTGTTTTCCAAGCAAAAACATTTTTCATCCGACTGCCTCTTGTTTTCCTTCCTCCCGGCAATTTTGGTATCTGTAATGAATATTTATGCACGTAGAAAAAAAATTTACCTGTCATGACAAAACTAACACTTCCTGTCTATTTTGGTCTTCCTTTCTGTTTAGTTTTTTTCTTCTCTCTCCCTGATCCCCAGACTTTGGCGTCAGTGCCTTTTTAGCCACAGGTGGTGACATGACCCGAAACAAAGTGCGCAAGACGTTTGTGGGAACGCCGTGCTGGATGGCGCCTGAGGTCATGGAGCAGGTCAGTGCTGTCCTAAATGGAACAGAAAACTAATTATCAGGAACTAAAACACCCATAAATTGAGCATTAAATTACCTGAAAATCACTTTTCATTTGGTAATACAATATTTAGCTGATAAGATTAAATAAAATAACTTATGTTGTAAAAGTATTTTGTTTTTTTGTTTGGTTTATTTGTTTTTGCAGAAGAACACACCCTGTCTTTAGAAATAGTAAATAAAGGAAATAATGATTTGAACTAAAACATAAAACACTTTTATAAGAAGGGAGAAATTGTTACCTTTGTGGAAAATCTTAGCCTAGTAAACTAGCCCCAGCAGCCAGCAGCCAAAAAAATTTTTTGTGTACGAGTTTGGTCTAGCTTCGATTAATGCCCCAGGCCCTACAACTGGCAGGCCAATCACAACGCAGAGATGTGTTTTGAGTTTTTGGATGCGAAGTGGGCGGGGTTTGGAGGGCGTGACGACAAAGCTGCGCGATGCTGGTGAAAGGACAACAAGGAAGATGGCAACAACTATTGAACAGTTCTCATTTGACTCAGCTTTGGAAGGATTAGACGAATTTGACATTGTTTGTTAACACTCCCACACCAGCTTTCTGTTGAGCTTACTACGTCAGTCTTTTGCGCTAATTGGTCAGAGCGTTGGCCAATAGGCACAGACATGGTTTGAAAGACAACGGGTTGTTCTCATCAACAATTTTCTGATGTCTCATTTATTGGGGCCAAACTAAATTACACATTTAATCTCACATTTAGTCTGGTTTATCAGGTTAGGAAAATCCTAATTTCTGCCAACAATTGTTTACAGAGTTCTACTAAATGAGGAGACTGGTTTTAGGTGGGAATGTTGTTCCTTTCTCCTCTGATGGACTCTGATTCTTTTGCAGTTCTGGATCTTAACTAATCAATTTGTTTGTTTCACATTGTGTCTAATATTTCCATACAAAGCTATGCTGTTACACTAACCAGTTTACATTTGCACATTTTTTTAACTGGAGAATACAAGACCTTTCACTAAAGTGTTTGTAGTAGTTATGTTAAGATATTTAATTCCCAGTTTATTTCACCTGTTTTTCCTTATTAATGTGAAAATATTTGCCATCTTTACTTTCCAAGCGATTCCAAGATTCTCTTTTTTTTATACAGCCCCAAATTCAATAAGATGTTTTTGCCACCAGATTATTTTTCTAAACCAGGAAAATATTTACTGAAAGTATTTGATGCTCTCAGTATATATTCTTACCCTGGCTTATTTGGTATATTTTTTAAATGTCTGGAGTTTTTTTCCCCCTCCCAGTTGTAATTGTGTTCATTACTTTTCTTCTTTAGGTGAGGGGTTATGATTTCAAAGCAGATATTTGGAGTTTTGGAATCACAGCTATTGAGCTAGCCACTGGAGCTGCACCTTATCACAAATACCCACCAATGAAGGTCAGAAAACGTGTTATTTCTTAAAAATAGATAAATAAATAGAAAAACAGGAGATCAGTGCTATATATATATATTTACTTTTTTGCTGTTTTCAGGTCTTGATGCTGACGCTGCAGAATGACCCACCATGTCTGGAGACTGGTGTGACAGATAAGGAGATGGTAAAAAAATATGGCAAATCTTTCAGGAAGATGATCTCCCTGTGTCTACAGAAGGAACCAGAGAAAAGGTGCACGGTCTGGTGATGAACTCTAGAGCAACATATTTCTCTAGAGCAGCTTCCAGAGAGGAGCTTTCTGTTAAGCTGCTTCATGATGCAGAATGTGGCACTTTAGTTAACAAAAATTGTTTTCTCTAGCATGTGTATGAAAATAAATCTTTAAATAACAGTCTTGCAACAATGAGTCATTTTATACTGTCTTATAGACAGTATAAAATGTATAGTATAGTTGTACAGCGCTACCAATAGTCCTAATCCTCATGTTTTTTTTTGTTTTTTTTTCAGGCCAACATCATCAGAATTATTGAAGCATAAATTCTTTCAGAAAGCAAAAGTAAGTTTTTATGATCAACTGTGTTTATTTATTTATTTATTTTTGTGTTATAGTCTTTTATTTAGAATGTTTGGCAAAAGTTAGGCCTCCCTACTTCATTCTGTTGTAGAATAATGCAATCATATTGAACTGATCGAAAAATGTCAGGTGATATGTGGGGATTGATGGAGGTCCAGTAGGTTACATCAAGTTGCTGAGGTTGATTGCAGCGATTCTTCATCCTGAGGGATAGTGGAGAGGAAGGACTCCGTATCAGCATTTCAGGGCTTAAGCCAGGAATATTTTTTTGCAAATCACACAAAAAGGTGTGTTCACTTCTCTGCTATAACTATCCCCTAAAATGGTTTCTGCATGTCAGTCCCACAAGCGCACGTGCAATTGTGTGTAGGGGTTCAGCCCCTCAGCTGCTTATTGCCTCTTCTGACCGCTCCAGAAGTCGGTGTGCATCCTTACCGGGGCAACACCTCCCATCATCTCCTGTCTTCAGGAGCCAGAGCAGATAAGAAATCAGACTTTCAAACAGGCAAAGGTTTATCTGGTTGGTAGTGGTCAAAGGCAAAGTGGAAACATACCTGTCATGGCTCAACTCATTTTAACTACTGAATTCGTAATTCTTGCTAACTGTGGTCCCTGCTTGCACCAGTGTTATGTTGTTGCAGGAGCACAGATGTGGTTTTCAACATGATGAATAAACGTGTTCAGTGATAAAATATGATACTGTCAGTCTTTTACAGTCAGTCGGTGATTATATCTATAATTAATGGCTGTATTGTCTGGGTGGAATAGGCATGTTTTGCATGTGAATTTTTCTTAGTCATATGAATTTCTTGTTGTCTTTTAAGCTTGTCTCTGTCATTAAGAAGACGTTTATTAATATACCAAGTTGGGGAGTTGTGACATTTTAAGGCCCTTTCACAGCTTTTGGAAACAACTTGGAAAAACATTCCTCTGGTCAATGATCAGGCAAAATCAGAGGGAAGCAGAACGGCACCAAGTTCCTGTTTGTAGCACAGCCATAAAAACATCCAGAGTTCTGACTCAGCAAGTCACTACGGTCCAAATACAGGTGCTGGTCATAAAATTAGAATATCATGAAAAAGTAGATTGATTTCAGTAATTCCATTTAAAAAGTGAAACTTGTATATTATATTCATACATTACATACAAACTCATATATTTCAGATGTTTATTTTGTTTAATTTTGATGATTACAAATGACAACAAATGAAAATCTCAAATTCATCATATCAGAAAATTAGAATATTGTGAAAAGGTTCAAAATTGATGGCCCCTGGTGCCACACTCTAATCAGCTAATTAACTCAAACCACCTGCAAAAGCCTTTAAATGGTCTTTCAGTCTAGTTCTATAGGCTACACAATCATGGGGAAGACTGCTGACTTGACAGTTGTCCAAAAGACGACCATCGACACCTTGCACAAGGAGGGCAAGACACAAAAGGTCATCGCTAAAGAGGCTGGCTGTTCACAGAGCTCAGTGTCCAAGCACATTAATAGAGAGGCGAAGGGAAGGAAAAGATGTGGTCGAAAAAAGTGTACAAGCAAGAGAGATAACCGCACCCTGGAGAGGATTGTGAAACAAAACCCATTCAAAAATGTGGGGGAGATTCACAAAGAGTGGACTGCAGCTGGAGTGAGTGCTTCAAGAACCACCACACACAGACGTATGAAAGACATGGGTTTCTGCTGTCGCATTCCTTGTGTCAAGCCACTCTTGAACCACAGACAGCGTCAGAAGCGTCTTGCCTGGGCTAAAGAGAAACAGGACTGGGCTGCTGGTGAGTGGTCCAAAGTCATGTTCTCTGATGAAAGTAAATTTTGCATTTCCTTTGGAAATCAAGGTCCCAGAGTCTGGAGGAAAAGAAGAGAGGCACTTCATCCACGTTGCTTGAAGTCCAGTGTAAAGTTTCCACAGTCAGTGATGGTTTGGGGTGCCATGTCATCTGCTGGTGTTGGTCCATTGTGTTTTCTGAGGTCCAGGGTCAACGCAGCCACATACCAGGAAGTTTTAGAGCACTTCATGCTTCCTGCAGCTGACCAACTTTTTGGAGATGCAGATTTCATTTTCCAGCAGGACTTGGCACCTGCACACAGTGCCAAAGCTACCAGTACCTGGTTGAAGGACCATGGTATCCCTGTTCTTAATTGGCCAGCAAACTCTCCTGACCTTAACCCCATAGAAAATCTATGGGGTATTGTGAAGAAGAAGATGCAATACACCAGACCCAACAATTCAGAAGAGCTAAAAGCCACTATTAGAGCAACCTGGGCTATCATAACACCTGAGCAGTGCCACAGACTGATCGACTCCATGCCACGCCGCATTGCTGCAGTAATACAGGCCAAAGGAGGCCCAACTAAATACTGAGTGCTGTACATGCTCATACTTTTCATGTTCATACTTTTCAGTTGGCCAACATTTCTATAAATCCTTTGTTTTTATTGGTCTTCAGTAATATTCTAATTTTCTGATATGATGAATTTGAGATTTTCATTTGTTGTCATTTGTAATCATCAAAATTAAACAAAATAAACATCTGAAATATATGAGTTTGTATGTAATGTATGAATATAATACACAAGTTTCACTTTTTAAATGGAATTACTGAAATCAATCTACTTTTTCATGATATTCTAATTTTATGACCAGCACCTGTACAACCTGGATATTGTTGGATGTAAATCTCAACTGCAAATGCCTGTGTGAACAGTAGATGTCAGGCTTTATCCTTATTTTAAAGCAAACTGATTTTGGTTAAACCCAGATATTTTAAAGATCTGCAAGTTTGTGGATAATCTTCTATTAACTGGAATCTGTTCCGCTGTTTTTTGCTCCATTCAGACCCACGAATATTTGCATGAGAAGTTGATCCAAAGGGCTCCAACAATAACAGAGAGATCAAAAAAGGTAAGGGAAGCAAAAAAAATCTGCTGCTCGCGCTTTACAAGAATAAGAAGATGAGCTCAGTTGCGTTGTTAAACACATTTCAGGTACGACGAGTGCCTGGTTCCAGTGGGCGGCTCCATAAAACGATGGATGGGGAATGGGAATGGAGCGACGACGAGCTCGATGAAGAAAGCGAGGAAGGCAGACTAGCTGTTGCAGCTTTAAGAGTGAGAAACCCACCTGCTTCTCCAGCACATGTAGACATTAACCCTTTGTATTAGTCCACACGTCACGTCTCTTAATCACTGCTCTTTGATGAAAGTGTCCTCCCTGTCTCTGTTTTGCATCATGTTGGTCCGTTGTCTCACTGAATCTCTCTGTATGTTGTGTCTGATGTAAAGGAGCAGCAGGTGAAGCCTGTTAGTGCCCTGAGGCGATAAGTGCGCTTCTCCCACCCGCTCGAGCTGCCTTCATCCAGGGTTGTTCACTTGTCACTGAAATACAGATGGCGCTCCCCTAACAAGGAAGGACTCTCACCTGTTGGCTCTTCCATGCTCCACAGCTAGGAAGCACTGGAAAGGCAGTTAACTCTCATTAGTGTCAGAGAGCTCTGCAGGGATATTAATTTGCAAAAGTGTTTTTACTGCTTAAACCCTTTTGCTTTCCACACAAAAAAAAATCCAGTGTATTTTATTTAGGTTTAAGGTAGAATGCAAACACAAAATAGCACGTAATGGCAAAGTTATACAAATTACACATAGTTTACAAAATGATCTACTAATAAAAATCAGAGTATTTCGCCCTACTTGCTCTGATAAATGTTTTCTAATTACTAAGTGGAGAGCTAGAAAAGCAGGACTGCTCATGTTTCATGTTTTGGAGAAAATGAAAGCAAGGTTGGTTCGGTTATAAACAGAAATTCCAAACTCTGAACACCTAACAGAACAGCATTTAATCCATCAATTGTTATTGGACAGAATACAGCACAGATTCTGATATATTAAACCATAAACATCCTTCTAACGGGTAAGGAAGGTATTAATCAAAGCACAGCAAGCATGCTCAATCTGGATATCATTTCATTTTGTAAACTGTCCTAACTCGGCGCATTAAAGAGTGCTGAGTGTATAAAAAAAAAGTAATCCAAAGAAAAGCATATGAGGTGGCCCAAAATATTTATTATTCTAGGTTTCTGCATTTCTTTTTCTATTTTTGCAATCAGACAGGCTTTCTTTCCCCCTGATTCTCCACTATCACCGCAAATATATTTGCTTGAAAATGGGCTTTTCTTTGCATCTAAATGGAAGCCATATTGTTTATGTTGGTAAAAACTTTTTTTATTTTTTATTATAGCTTCAAAAATAGCAGATCAAATAGTTTTGCATGAAAGGCATCGTTCTATACGGTTGTTCACATATTTCGTCAAAGTTAGCTGTTTAAATGGAGTCAGACTGCAGTTCAGCTACAGCTGGACAAACTGGTCTTACTAAGAATCTGCTGCCAAGCCGCGAGAGTTTTAAGGGCCAAGAAGGAATTTGAGGTTTGTAAAAATTCTGAAAGGTATTTTAATTGAATTCAGCAATTAAAATAAACCACCTGGATTCATTTTTAATACCACCAGGTTTACATTTTAACCCGTTTTAATTTGATAGTATAGGTTAGATTAAAAACTTTGCCAGGGAGAGATTTCAGTCCTGGAAGCCATCTGTATTTCAATTTCTTTTCTCTTTTAACCCTTTTTTTTACTACACTGCCACAATTTAATATTGGTATCAAATCACTGATCTCCTTTGCGATGATTCTCAAAAAGGAAACTGACCTCTGAGTTTTTGAATCTCAATCCAACCTGTTTTTTTTGTTTAGTGGTTACATGTCGGCACACTGAACTTTAACTATCTATGTGGGATTAATGTTTGTAATATTGGTGTAAAGGTGCTCATGCTTGTTTAACTGGACGCTCACAGATGAAAACATCAATGCATTTAGCATTAAGATTAAGCCACTGATCTCTATTTAGTCACTGGATTGCTGATTTCCTGGAAAAAGTGAAGTCCGCCATGCTGGTACTCCCCTCTCCCACGGACTCAAGCAGTAAAAATGCTTTAGTGTGTAGAATTTGGCTGTAAGAACAAGCACTTTGCCGGCTTTGGGAAGCCGTTTCACAGGTAATTTCACTGATCGTGGATGTGCTAACCAAGAAAATCCATATACACGCCGACGTCTATATTATAGTATGTAGCGTAACATTAGTCTGGCTATTTTGGACTGACACGAAGATATTGACTGAGTTAGCCAATGACATTGTGTCTCACATTAGAAAATAGAAAGTAATTCATTAAGAAATGTAAATGTAGTAATTCTTAAGTGGATGATGCCATCATTCCTGTATTGTTTGTTGTATATCTCATTTGAAAAATACTGCTGAAATATATTGCTTTATAAACATATATATTTATATATAATATATATATATGGGTAAAATTCCTGCCTTGTTTTTTTCTATCAATGTAACATGCAAAATATTTCTACAAGTAATGGAGATATGTATATCATGCGTAATTAATACATGTATATTACATGTACGTCTTCAATTTAGCACTTTTGGCACATCTGTATTATTATGCTCCATTAACACATTCATTTTGTTGTGATGGATTTGCATATGTGATATTACATGATTTAGAGACTTCCTTAACTTTATGCAATGTAATGTGCCTATTTTTTTAAATTCTAAGTTAAAGTAATCAACTTATGCTATGAAACAGCAATTGTGTGTCAAAGTCATGAATTTATCTTTAGTTTAAAAGTCCCCCTGAAAATGAAATCATCATCGTAGTTCGATGCTGTAGCGCACGTACTGTTTACATTGAGACTGGTCTAATTAGGGAGTACCAATATGCCGGCCGGTGGCTTCACTTTAACCCCGTACTACCAATGGGCAATCAGTAATCCAGTGAATAAATGGAAATCAGTGGATTAAGCTCATTGCCTCTGAGCAGGTATTGAATCAGAAAGCAGATCCCTCTGCTGATCAGCAGTCAGTTTGCCTTCATTTAACCGTCATGCCTTTTTGCTTGATTTATTTCATTTAAAAAAAAAAACCCTTGGGGCACCTTTTAAGGGTAGTTACTTCAGAAAAGTAGCTTTTAATAAAACAGTAAAATTTCAATGTTTTTATAGGATTTGAAATGCTTCTTATTCTTTTCAGCTACTTCCATCCAGATTTTTTAACATAATATGTGACTATAATTATATGAATAAATATGTGGTCATAAGTTGAGTTAGAAAAATTCATCAAATTTTGGGCCTTTAGGTGCCTCGAGGGTGAAACTTGACTTTTTGTTCAGAAAATCAATTTGGAACTGTATCCATTACTTTTTAATCTCATTTATTTCTTCTTTCCTGCCTCTCTTACTAAGTGTACTCTATGAGATGTGTCTTCACTCGTTTACTTCTCAATTTTACTCTTGTTATACATTGATTACAACATTAAAACAACTCTGTAGATATTTCTAGTTTTAAAATGCACAATTGATTTGATGAAGTTATTTTGGGTTTGAAAGCATCAGAGAGATTAAAGATAATCTTGGTCAGGCATAATGCTAAACACTCTTCTGCCTGCCATTTAGTTCTCAGCATGGCTCCTTGTTCTGGCATGACATGGACCCAATACTTCTGACTGGAATATTTCATATTGTGGTGGGTTGATGTGTTTATCTATAAAAATTAAGTGGAAGATTCTAGTTAACAAAATCAACCAGTTACCTGTTCAAGATCAAAAACCACTGGACCTCATCACTTTGTTTACATCAGACACATTAGGTCTTAACAAGAGTCTCTCTGTTTATCATTCATTCACGTATTTGGAGAAGGACCACACTCAGTCTAACAGGGTTCTCAGGTCTCCCATTGAAATTTGAAAGTATTTAATATTTGTAAGTAAAATCTATGTTCCCCACAATACATTTTGTTAGAAAAGTCTGAACTCTCTGGACAGATCTGTGAGGAACGTAAACGAGTGAGCCATTTGAATGTGATGTAATGAGCAAAGATGCAGTTTGTTTTTCAATCATTGTCTCTTTGAAAGTCCCTGAAGTTTCTTTCTGTCTTCAACAGTCACCAAGAGTTAAGGAAATTTCTCAAAATTCAGAGGTAGGTTTAATCTTTGTTTCTATGACTAATGGATGATTGAACTGGCAAATAAAGGAGCACATCTTCACTTTTTGTCTGACAAAGCAAATACCTTCAGTTTTAAGATTTTTGGTTCTTGAAATGTTTCGCTGAGGTTGAACCAGAAGAGTTTCTTTCAGCTTTTCCAGACTCCTGAGCCTTTAAGTAGTCACCTCCAGGCAGTGTCCCAAGATCAGGCTGAACTACCTCAGGCTGCAAGCCAACCCTGCCTGCAGCCCATGCAAGTCAACACTCACGCCTATGCCCAGGCTGGATCGCCGCCACCCAGTGTTCCTGCTGCTGCTGTCGTGCCCACTCAGGTCACTACTCTCAGTTTCACATTAGAACTTCATTCTCTGCTAACAGAAATCTTCATCTTTTTTATTTATTTATATTTTTTAGAACTTTAAGTTATGTTGAGACTTGACTTATAAATTCTGTAGGGAACAAAAAAACAATTGAAACCTACAAAAAGTCAAATTTTGTTTTCAGTTTTCAGTCATTTTAAATAGTTTGATCTATTTGAACTATTTGTTTTGATATTTTCCTGCTAATTCAGGTGTTTGTATTTCCTGGCTATTTTTGTAGCTTTGCCTTTAAACGATATAACCAGGATCAAGGTTATAGGTTTCCTTCAATAAGCTGAATTTGATATAATAAGCTGAATTTCCTGCTTTTGAACTAATTAAATAGGTTTGTAGGCTGTGTTGCTCAAACACCTTTTCCGCTTTCAGCCTCTTTTATTTATTGGATTGACATTAATACTTTGTGACAAGTTAAAAGCATTGGGTTTATTATCCTTAAAGCCTATTTTTACTTAAATCAGCGGTATCAATAAGGTCATTGACTCTACTTCATGATGCTGCCACTCCCGTGCATCGCTGCTTATTCGTAGAACTTTTCAGATTTTACCTCCAAATGTAATAATGTTCTTTAATGTTCCTCACTTCAAAAATCTATGTCAGACAGTGAGAAAAAATGTTCTTTTTAATGCAGTATATGTGAATAACTGCTATATTTATGTTCAGTTTCTGTTAAACTGAAATTTTTATTTCTTTTTGAACAGATTGAAATAGCCTGTGAAGATGTTAGCACTCCCATTAGTTTGGTATTAAGGTTAAGGTATGTCTTTTTAACTCAACATCTTAGATGTGTTTTTTTTTCTTTATTTCATGTTTCTATTTTCCTTGTTTCTCTTTAGAAATTCAAAGAAGGAGCTGAATGACATCCGCTTTGAATTCATGCCAGGAAGAGGTAAATATTGTTTCCTTTCTCAGGCTGTTTATTAATCAAGGCTATAGACTGACTGTGTTATTTTGGATTGTGGTCGTGTCCTTTTGTTCCCCTTTATTTATGACTGTCACAAGATGCATCCCTCTGCACTGCATCATCTGCTAGTTGAGCAGGATAATCAGTAAAATAAAAACTGGTCCCCTGTCTGAGCAGCACAGACAAAAAAGTCATAAAGAGCAGAAATGGTCAAAGGAGAGTTGTTGTGTTACCTTTTGACTGAGAGAGAAAGAAGTTGTTCTAGTTTGACATGTTTGAAAATGATGAAGCAGTGTGTGGCTGTCATCTAATATTTTATTTTTTTCAGACACAGCAGATGGAGTGTCCCAGGAGCTGGTGTCAGCAGGTCTTGTGGATGGGAGGGACTTGGTAATAGGTGAGTTTTCTGTCTAGTGTTAGCCATTTGAACTTCTTAGCATTTCTAAGTAAAGATTAAAATATCAGTATTTGACTTGGATTAAATATTGTTACCAGAGATATCAGTTATTTCTATTTATCCATATATGTTCTTTTTTCACTTTGTTTTGCTCTGTATTCTCCACAAATTTTAAATTACGACAACATCACTGTTTGAACTGAATCTGAAAAAGGTGTCAGATTTTGAAGCAGGAAAATTTGTAAAAACCTGCAAATCTATAAACATTACTGTTGTTTTTAAGAAAGTGAGTCTAGTGTCGTCAGGCTTCTTCTGGAAAAGTGTGCAATTTTAGATTAGCATTTACCAACATTTATAATATAAACATATATATTTTAAGTTAACACACAGTAAACTTACTAAAAACTCTGGAAAGAGAAGTCCGGATATCTCTATGACTCTTTAAATTAAAATTAGAAAGAAAAAAAAACTTGTAGGAGTCTCATCTAGTGGTCTCAGAGAAATGTAAAGTTTGTAGCTAAAATGCAGAGGCAGAGATGATTTCCTGTAGATTTAATGCAGCCAAAATACAACTCCAAAATTAAACATCCAAGAAACTCCAGAACAGACTTAACAGGAGGTGAGGGACAGGAACTGATGAAAACATAACATAATGATGCCACAATGCCGTGTAGAGATGCATTTGTGTTTTTCTTATTTCATTGTACTGAAATATAGCTTCTCTTTTAGTTGCTGCTAATTTGCAGAAGATAGTCGATGAGCCTCAAGGTCATAAAAATGTAACATTCAAACTGGTGAGTAAAACCCTTTTTACATCTTCATACTATGAGTTGCACTATTGCAGTATTGTTACTTATTCGGCTTTCAGGGGAGGATTTTTTCTTTTTCCCCAGACAGTAGGAGAATAACTTAGACAGATTTATTTGTCATTTTGTTTACACAAGTGTAAAACAAAAATAATTTTATTTGGAATAGCTCTCTGGACAATTTCATCAGTTTTAAAAGTGCAGCCTTGAAAAATAGTAAAACATATATACCGTATATATATATATATATATATATATATATATATATATATATATATATATATATATATATATATATACACTATATTGCCAAAAGTATTTGCTCACCCATCCAAATTATTGGAATCAGGTGTTCCAATCACTTCCATGGCCACAGGTGTATAAATTCAAGCACCTAGGCATGCAGACTGTTTTTACAAACATTTGTGAAAGAATGGGTCGCTCTCAGGAGCTCAGTGAATTCCAGCGTGGAACTGTGATAGGATGCCACCTGTGCAACAAATCCAGTCGTGAAATTTCCTCGCTCCTAAATATTCCACAGTCAACTGTCAGCTGTATTATAAGAAAATGGAAGTGTTTGGGAACGACAGCAACTCAGCCACGAAGTGGTAGGCCATGTAAACTGACGGAGCGGGGGTCAGCGGATGCTGAAGCGCATAGTGCGAAGAGGTCGCCAACTTTCTGCAGAGTCAATCACTACAGACCTCCAAACTTCATGTGGCCTTCAGATTAGCTCAAGAACAGTGCGCAGAGAGCTTCATGGAATGGGTTTCCATGGTCGAGCAGCTGCATCCAAGCCATACATCACCAAGTGCAATGCAAAGCGTCGGATGCGGTGGTGTAAAGCACGCCGCCACTGGACTCTAGAGCAGTGGAGACGCGTTCTCTGGAGTGACGAATCGCGCTTCTCCATCTGGCAATCTGATGGACGGGTCTGGGTTTGGCGGTTGCCAGGAGAACGGTACTTGTCTGACTGCATTGTGCCAAGTGTAAAGTTTGGTGAAGGGGGGATTATGGTGTGGGGTTGTTTTTCAGGAGCTGGGCTTGGCCCCTTAGTTCCAAGGAAAGGAACGCTGAATGCTTCAGCATACCAAGACATTTTGGACAATTCCATGCTCCCAACTTTGTGGGAACAGTTTGGAGCTGGCCCCTTCCTCTTCCAACATGACTGTGCACCAGTGCACAAAGCAAGGTCCATAAAGACATGGATGACAGAGTCTGGTGTGGATGAACTTGACTGGCCTGCACAGAGTCCTGACCTCAACCCGATAGAACACCTTTGGGATGAATTAGAGCGGAGACTGAGAGCCAGGCCTTCTCGTCCAACATCAGTGTGCGACCTCACAAATGCGCTTCTGGAAGAATGGTCAAAAATTCCCATAAACACACTCCTAAACCTTGTGGACAGCCTTCCCAGAAGAGTTGAAGCTGTTCTAGCTGCAAAGGGTGGACCGACGTCATATTGAACCCTATGGATTAGGAACGGGATGTCACTTAAGCTCATATGTGAGTCAAGGCAGGTGAGCAAATACTTTTGGCAATATAGTGTATATATATATATATATATATATATATATATATATATATATATATATACAGGTGCTGGTCATAAAATTAGAATATCATGAAAAAGTAGATTGATTTCAGTAATTCCATTTAAAAAGTGAAACTTGTATATTATATTCATACATTACATACAAACTCATATATTTCAGATGTTTATTTTGTTTAATTTTGATGATTACAAATGACAACAAATGAAAATCTCAAATTCATCATATCAGAAAATTAGAATATTGTGAAAAGGTTCAAAATTGATGGCCCCTGGTGCCACACTCTAATCAGCTAATTAACTCAAACCACCTGCAAAAGCCTTTAAATGGTCTTTCAGTCTAGTTCTATAGGCTACACAATCATGGGGAAGACTGCTGACTTGACAGTTGTCCAAAAGACGACCATCGACACCTTGCACAAGGAGGGCAAGACACAAAAGGTCATCGCTAAAGAGGCTGGCTGTTCACAGAGCTCAGTGTCCAAGCACATTAATAGAGAGGCGAAGGGAAGGAAAAGATGTGGTCGAAAAAAGTGTACAAGCAAGAGAGATAACCGCACCCTGGAGAGGATTGTGAAACAAAACCCATTCAGAGTGGACTGCAGCTGGAGTGAGTGCTTCAAGAACCACCACACACAGACGTATGAAAGACATGGGTTTCTGCTGTCGCATTCCTTGTGTCAAGCCACTCTTGAACCACAGACAGCGTCAGAAGCGTCTTGCCTGGGCTAAAGAGAAACAGGACTGGACTGCTGGTGAGTGGTCCAAAGTCATGTTCTCTGATGAAAGTAAATTTTGCATTTCCTTTGGAAATCAAGGTCCCAGAGTCTGGAGGAAAAGAAGAGAGGCACTTCATCCACGTTGCTTGAAGTCCAGTGTAAAGTTTCCACAGTCAGTGATGGTTTGGGGTGCCATGTCATCTGCTGGTGTTGGTCCATTGTGTTTTCTGAGGTCCAGGGTCAACGCAGCCACATACCAGGAAGTTTTAGAGCACTTCATGCTTCCTGCTGCTGACCAACTTTTTGGAGATGCAGATTTCATTTTCCAACAGGACTTGGCACCTGCACACAGTGCCAAAGCTACCAGTACCTGGTTGAAGGACCATGGTATCCCTGTTCTTAATTGGCCAGCAAACTCTCCTGACCTTAACCCCATAGAAAATCTATGGGGTATTGTGAAGAAGAAGATGCAATACACCAGACCCAACAATTCAGAAGAGCTAAAAGCCACTATTAGAGCAACCTGGGCTATCATAACACCTGAGCAGTGCCACAGACTGATCGACTCCATGCCACGCCGCATTGCTGCAGTAATACAGGCCAAAGGAGGCCCAACTAAATACTGAGTGCTGTACATGCTCATACTTTTCATGTTCATACTTTTCAGTTGGCCAACATTTCTATAAATCCTTTGTTTTTATTGGTCTTCAGTAATATTCTAATTTTCTGATATGATGAATTTGAGATTTTCATTTGTTGTCATTTGTAATCGTCAAAATTAAACAAAATAAACATCTGAAATATATGAGTTTGTATGCAATGTATGAATATAATATACAAGTTTCACTTTTTAAATGGAATTACTGAAATCAATCTACTTTTTCATGATATTCTAATTTTATGACCAGCACCTGTATATATATGTATATATATATATATATATATATATAAAAACAGTAATATAAATGACTGTAAATTTATAGTTTTATAACTCTCATTTTTTTAAAATAAGAATAACAAATCAAATAATAAGATATAAGACATCAAACCTTGTGCTTTTTGCTGGACCTTGCTGCTGTTAAAACTTAACTGTCATAATTCGATGTGGTGAAAATGTTGCACAAACATGGAGTTTTCTGCCTTAGATGATACTAATAGAGGGACAAACCGGACAAATCTGTTAAGCTTTCCGACTGATTCATCATGATGCATTGCACTGATTTCTTCTTCTTCTTCTTTTTTTTTTTTTTTTTTTTTTACACTTATATACTGTAGGATGTTCATAGATAGAAATGATATCCAACAGTGACTGTACTAATGAGAAGCACCTTCTTGCAAATACTATGTACTGTTCTCCACAGTATCTATATTAGGTAATGACATTGTGGTACTGGTGTTTTCTCTGGTCTTTAAGGACACATAAAATAAACATCACTCCTAATGCAGCTACATCAAACACAGTGAACCTGTTAAAGTCCCAACTTTTAAAATCCAATGGGAATTTCTAACTGATGGGCTAAAATATGGCTGAAATCTTGGTGTCATGATGAATTCAGACCTGAACTTTCCGAACTTTCCATGATTAAAGCAGTAATGTCCAAGCAGGACCTAGAAAAACCCTTTTCACAGGTTTGCCTAAAAAGTCCACCAGAGAGCTGCAGCTGATCCAAAATGCTGCTGCCCGTGTTCTGACTAGAACTAAGAAAGTAGAGTACACCATTACACTGGCTCTCTGTACCTCAATGAATAGACTTTAAAATCCTTTTCTTAGCCTATAAATCACTGAATGGATCAGCCCCTCAATACATAACATTTGTCATCAATGTGTCAACCTCCCAGCCCACTCAGGTCTTCTAGTTTCATCCTACTCTGTCCACCCAAAACTAGAACCAAACATGGAGAAGCAGCATTTAGTTTCTATGCTCCACTATTCTGGAATAAACTCCCAGAGTTCTTTTAAGTTAAAGTTAAAAACCCTTTCCTTTAGAACTGCCTTTAACTGTTGAAGTTAAACTGTTAACTGAGGTATAATTTGTAGTTTATATTTCAACGGTTTTATTTGTTTTACATGTTTTGATCTTTATTTTATTCTGCTTTTATTTTTGGCTCAGTTCATGAAAATTGATCTTAATTGTTATTGTATTAAATTGGGCTGTATAAATATAGTTGCCTTTCCTAATATAAGCTAATATACGTTTATTTCTGTGCTTGTTGCTCTTTCAGTGCAACATGTTCAATAAAAATATAGCTATATAGTACTGTTTACATGGAGGTATTAATAAAGTACCAATGATCAGAAATGCTATTAGCCTTTTAAAAAGCCTTTACATTGGAGTTTTATGTGCATGGTAGCCATATTGGATTTTAAAGAGAATCTCTCAACTTTTCTACAAAGAATTCCAACTAAAGTGTTGATGTATATTTTTTCAATTTCAAGTGTAGAAATTTCAAAAAAGAAAAGAAAGAAAATTGTCTTCACTTTATAGTTTAGGTCTTATTGGAAAAGAGCTACCTTTTCCCCATGTTTGCTGTGTTCCATTCATGGTCTTGTAGCAAGCAGCAAATAGAACATTAAGGCTTTCGTTTATTAACTTTCCTCTTATCTGTTGTGAGTTTCTCTTAAAAAAAAAAAAAAAAAATCTGTCAAGTTCTTCCCACTGATCTAGTATTTAGTTATTGGTTTTTTGTCATCAAACCCCAATAAACACTTTGAAGGTTTAGGTTAGGTTGTTAAATTGCTCAAGTTTGATTACTTTAATACATTCTTGAATCCGTGTCTTCACAGGCTTCTGGGGTGGAAGGATCTGAAATACCAGATGACATCAAGCTGATGGGCTTTGCTCAGCTTAGCATTAGTTAAACTGTTGTTCTACATGGAACCATGACTTGCCTAAAAATGTGAAAATGGAAAAAAAAATAGTTTAATGCATTTTTTCTCTTTCCATGGCTGTAAAGAACCACTACTGCCAAAGAAAATAATACCATTTTGCTACCCATAGGATTATACAATACCACCTTGTGGGATTAGGTGGTCAGCCGTAGTATCAGAACTGTAGTGGGAGAATCAAAGCTCAAAGTTTACAGTGTACATGTAGAGGGATGCGAGCATCTGCAAGAAAATGTTTTCATTTTAGATTCTGGGTTCCTTCATCTTGTTATTGTCTCATTTCTATGTCATGCATTTGCACAATCGGATCCAACACTCCCTAATCCCACGTAATCCCGGTAAGTGTAATTGCCTTATAATCATAAGAACTACTGGATGCTCATTTCGTTTCACCCCATGTGGAGCGTAGTGTCATTTGAAATGCACAAACATGGCTGCGGGTGCTGATGCCAAACTTTAAACTTTTGTTTTGTGAGTACGAATGAGATGGAAAATAAAGTTATGCCAAAATATGATTAATATTATATCTCTACAGTCTTTACTATGTAAGACTGAATTTAGCCCAAAACGCTCTTCTCCGTTTTAGGACAAAAGTATCTAGTCATTTTTTTTAAAAACAGGTGGAAAAAAAACTAAATCCGAAACAAAATCTTTTACCTTCTTAGGTGCTTTATTTTACAGTGTTATAAAACTGGATATTTTGGTTTGCAAAACATTTTTGTCCTAAATTTGCACCCATTATGAGATATAATTTCTGCTTTTTTTCCTTTCTGTTTTGTTTTGAACAAACACATGTTCATTTATCTTACCCATTAGGTTGATTTATTCTGTTTATGGTTTACATGAAGACTTGATGAACTCTTGATACTTTGATCAATTATAAAGCGATGAAGGTCACTGAATCAATAAATTAAAAAGACAAATTCTGAAATTATCGAAAATTTTTGATTTATTTGAGGGGGGGAAAGAGCTATAATGGGCCTTTCTTACATCCATGGTAAGGTCCTGTAGCTCTCCAGCCTTCCAAAATAAAAGCACTTATGCTGGATTCTGGGTTGGAATATAAAGCCTTGCAATGCTGCAGCAAAAACAACCAAAAAGCAGAGGAGGCACCCAACCCCCATTGACTAAACATGCATTAAAAGCAATATAAAAATTGGTTTGATTTGCATTCAACCCAATCAGATGTATTACTGATAAAAATGTACAATTAGTCTTCTGTTTGTTTTTTTTTGTTTTGTTTTTTTTTTCTTTTTAATTAGTTACATTTATACATCAGATGTTAGAAAACTCGTCAAGGTCATTGAGAGAATCATCAGAGAAAATCTGCGGGCCTCCATGTTAAAACAGACCTTTAGCTTCATGTCATTTTTTTTGTTCTTAGTTGATATAAAGCAGCTGAAACCTTACTGTATTCGTTTTAAATAATAAAAGAAAATGAATGGGGCTGACAAGCACTTATACCTAAGGATGTAAATATTGTCATTTGACTTTATTTGCATTCTCTTTCACTCTGCCTTTTTTCTTCCTATATCGACACGATTGTCAGTTCCTGATATATGACGCTTAGTGTGCGTGGCTTCGAATGGTGTGATTTTGAAGGCGTTGATGTCAGTAACAGTTTGTCAAAAATGATGCTCATTCATTTGCACTTAAAAAATCCTTGTCTTGGAAGATTTTTCGTATAAGAACCTCTAAGTTCCCTAAATCTTAAAGAATTGGCTCCATAAACACCAGGTGGAGACTGTTTACAGCTGCATTCACACACGCAATCATCTTTGTATCAAACAGCTAACAAATAAAAAGGCCACGATTGTAAACAGTTGGAATATCATTTTCTTTTAGCGTTTGCATTTATGACTCAGTCTTGCATTTATGTCTAAGATGCCAGCGTGGTTTTATCCTGTTAGGTGATGTTGTAGTGTCACTACCTTCCAGATGCCATTTTGAATGAAGCAAAAGGAAAAACTAAGAAAAATAAAAAGCTTTGTATTTTTGCTTGTGAAGATGTAAATTTTTGTGCAAGCCTTAAATCATAAATGACCAAGTGTATTTTTTTTTATCATAATTTTTTTGGGAGGGAGTGAAATTAGGAGGTAGTTTTGATTTACTTAAAGTGTCTGAAATGGATCCAGGAAGATTCCCTGCATGAAGTGTCGAAGGTGTGCAAACAAATTGCAGCCTTCCTGGCGTCAGTCTCTCGCTGATGGTCGCAGGCTGGGCTCCTATGGTGGAAAGGATTTTTTTTTTTTCTTTTGTTCAAGCCTTATGAGATAATTCTGTTTTTTATGTGTGGACATTGTGTAGACAGAGTCTAGCTTCAGATGAAAATGAAGCTTTATTAGCTTTTTTCTTTTATTCTTTCCTGTTTTCACACAACCTAAAAAAAAACAACTGTAGCAACTGAACAAAAAAAGGTAAAACCATGTTTATCTTGGACTAATCAAGGTCGTTATATGGCTGTCTTACTTTTGTTCAGCATTTTCCATTTTTTTCTGATTATTTTCAGCGCTCAGGCATGTTTCTCTTGATTATTTTGTTCATTAAAGAAATTGGCATATCAGCTTCTTAGAGTCCAGTCTATTTTTATAAATATTACCTTGCAGTAGCATTTTTAGCCCTCAGATCTTTTTGCAATTTGGCACAGACTCATATTTTACTGTGATTTATTTATTTTCTACTGATTTACATGGTAGCAAATGATGCATACACTGCAAAAATGATCTAGAGATAAGTAAAAAATTCTTAAATTAAGTGTATTTACCATTGATTATTGTTTTTATTAATTATTTTACCCTTAAGATGATTTGTGAACTGAATGAGTTTTACTCTTAGAATACGATAATTAGATAATATACACTTCAAATAAGACGATGCGATTGTTTTTTTATTATTATTTTAAATGTTAACTGTCTTTTTCATTTGCAAAGTGTCTGATTTACCTTCTCAGTTCAAGGAAAAATGCACTTTTAAGAAAAATTTACTTATTTGGATTTCAATTATTTGCAGTGTGTTTTTCGGTCTCTAAAACTACAAATCAAATCACCTTTTCTACTCATTCCCCTTTTATTAAAGGCCTAAACCTAGATGTAATGCAATGAATTGCATTTAAAAGCTTCATTGAGTCCAAGGAACACAGCAGACTGAGATGGTTGTATAGACGTTTAAAGTACAGGTAGGCTTGCTTAGGATGACTACACACCAACACAAGGCTGTACACGTAAACTGGCCGATTGATGCAGACATCCGCACTTTCAGGGAATTTGTCAGCACAACTATCAGTTAGCACAACATTGATCTTGCAGTTTTTCATCCTCTGAGTTTCTATTAAGTACAAACAGGAAGGAGCACATACCATAGAGTTAGTCTATGCAATGTCACTTCTTTTCAAAATAACAGTTGCATTCAACTTACAGTGTCTCAGTGATATCCTGGAGTTCAACATTGAGTGTTTCAGGTAGCAGCAAACAGAAACAGCCTGCAGCCATCGGGATGATGCCATAAACCACCATGGGAATGCTGTAATGGTAGACCTCCAAGAGCCTGACCAGTGGTGAGAGGATGCCGGCCACACGAGCAAACATTGAATTCAATCCTATGCCGCTATGCCTGCAAAAAAAAGAACGCTTGGGCAAAATCAACCTGGCATCTATATTTGTAATATTTCAAAAGTTGCCTATATATAAAACATTTACTTTACTGTTAATTGATCCAATCAGAAAATTGTTACACTTACAAAAATATTACATTTTCATTTACTCCCTCTCCATATTGTTGAATCGTATTGAATTAAGTTGCAGAAACGGTCATCCCTGTGCTGAACCTTGGAGAACACTTACACATCCTGTATTATATATAGATTTTTTTTTCTCCACACATTGAAAAGCATTTCAAATAAAATTCAGAAATCTCTTTCATCTTAATGTCACTCTTGCTGTTGTCTGTGTTTTTGTGTGTTTCCTGGATGGGAACTCCTGTGGAGCTGGTTGACAGTTGCCTTTTGTATCTCTGCTTCTGTCTCCTTGAAACCCAGTCAGCCTCAGTAGATGGCCGCTCGCACTGAGTCTAGTTCTGCTGGAGGTTTCTTCCTGTTTAAAGGGAGTTCTTCCTCTCCACTGTCTCTACAAGCTTGCTTAGTTCGAGGGATTGCCTTCGAGTCAATGAGTCGATGCAATCAACTGGTTTTCCTCAGATAGAAAACTTTGAATCAGTTTGACTGAATGATCTGGTTGAACTGTAAAGTGCCTTGAGATGACAGGTGTTGTGAATATATAAATAATATATAAATAAACTGAATTAAATTGAATTTTCTGGTTTCAAACCCAAAGGTAAACCCTAAGAACAGCCCTTGGTCTCTCCCCACTTCTGATTGGATGACTGGATGATTAAAGGTTCTTTCTTCAACAGAAAAAATGAAAATATTCCAATTTAAATTTGTTCCATCAGTAGATATTACCTGTACAATTTCACAACCAAATGTAACCCTTTTTTTGTTTTCGCACTCGAGATGTAAATTAATTTACTTCACATTGGAAATGTGTCTGTAAACACCTGAGTTGGTACTTTAGACAAGTTATTTCTTATAGGAGATCATAAAGACAACTACCTTAAATCTGTAGGGTATAATTCAGCTGTGTAAACATGGGCTGTACTGCAGGCAGCTGTGGCAGCAAACTTTCCCAGCATCGCAATGACTGTCACCACCACTGAAAGATCTGATTAGTACAAAAAGTAACATAGAGGTGTAAAATAGGTCTATATTTCAAAACAAAAACAAAGATATACATGGGCTGACAGGGCTTCAAGGCTACCTTTGGGAACAGCAATGGCCACCAAGCAAGAGGCTCCACCAAAGAACAGGAAACCTGCTTGACATATTCTTCTCCCAAAGCGCTGAATCAGGGTCAGGCCAGCCAGGTTTGCAGGGATTTCAATAAAACCAAAGATGAGCTGTGTGAGGTAGATATTTAGGCCAAAACTCCCAATATTTAGGCTCAGTCCATAGAAAAGAATAGTTGCTGCAAACCTGGAATGACATAAAGTGTTTAGTTTCCATGTTAAGGTGTTAGCCGTGATAGAAACGTGAACAATAGTCAAAGAGAAATAACCAGTTCAAAGCCATGATTAGAGTGCGTTTTCTTAAATAGGTTATTCGGAAGATGTCCATCATGTTTTTTCTGTTTGGGGAAGTCTCCATATTGACCTGAAAAATTAGAAAAAAGGTGGTAGGAACCTGTCAGAGCAGGAGCAATATCTCCTGAATCTGAAGTCTTTAGGTCTCAGATGATAAACTATGTTTGAGGACCTTATCCAGCAGATCTCCTGATACGCTCCTTTTATTAACTCTGGCTGCTCTCTGCAGCTCCTTCAGAGCCGCCTCCTTCCTGCCCTGAGACATGAGCCACCGAGCTGACTCTGGGAGGAAACTGAAAATACAAATGTATACAGATCTGTTCAAATTGAAATCTATATGTACTTGCATAGCGATTTACAGTGTATATAACTCCATGTAAGGAAGTTTCAGGAGATTAAAGAAAATAATACTGACCAGAACAGGACGACCAGGACAATGACGAGGGGGCTTAAGAGAACCAGTTGCAGTATCCACCACTTTGTAATCAGATAAGCAATACCAGGCAGAATCATCTGTCCTACTGAAAAGAAGCTCATTATGGACATTGTGCAGAGAGCAGATTTTGAAGGATCAGTCCACTCCACCACTGAAAAATAGATTAGAAGTGGAAAAAAAATGGTCAGTCAAAGAATTTATTTACATAATTTCAAGGCTCATGTTTTAGATACTTTCTCCGTTTAATCACAACTTGAGAAAGTACATAAACTAGTTCTGGTGAGAAAATTGCAAACCATTGAAATTAACATGAAAAATTGAATAAAACTGCTCATTTGTGCTGCGTCTGATACTGACACAGCAGGACAACATTCACAGATATGAACGAGAGTTGGAAAAACTTAACCTACCCATCACAAATGTGTTCATAATAACGACACCAGTCCCACTGAAAAACTTCAGAACCATATAGATGTAAATATTGGGTGAGAAAGCTGTGCTGACACCGAACACCAGCAGGATTAAAACTGAAAGTAGGATCCCAAATCTTCTGCCAAACCTACGTAGAAGAATGAAAAACCTTAATTTGAATAATCTGAGTTTTGCTTTAATCTAATCACAGTACATTCTCTGTTATTTGATGTTACAGATATGCAGAAACATCATCATATAAAATCACTTTTTCATATGTTCTTTACTTTATGACAGCGACTATTTTATAAAAAAAAAGATTAAATCAACATGTGTTTGTCAGTGTTTGCATGTTCTGTGTTAGTTCTACTAGTAATTCAAGCTGAGAAAAGAAATTTGATTTCATTTCTCAAGAGGTTTTAAAACAGTTAAAATCTTAAGAATTCCACATTATATAACATGGACAGATAATGATGTAATTTAGATTGCTGTGTCAGTCACAAATGAGTTCCAAATTAAAAAAAAAATTAAAAGAAACTGTCAGGAGAAGCTATCATAAAATTGAAACAGTTATCTGTAGTCAAGATGATAATGTAATATAGCTGTAATGAAGCTTGACCCAATTTGGTCCTCAGGATAAATGGCAATCTAAGAAAAATGAACAACGTGGCAACAGTGATTGTGATGTAACGGTTATAAATTTCAATCTAGTTTGCTGAATTGCAGTTTTTGTATAACTATTGTCTCCAGTGAGAACTTTGCTCAGCTTATCTGCCAGTAGAGAAAATAAAAAAAGTAGAGAAACCCATCAGAAAATCAATCTTTTAAAGTCGTGTGCATCAATTGCAGATTTAAATGTGACAATTTGTTTGAGACTTTTACAGACAACATAATAACTTGGTTTGTTCAATTTAAATGATAATTGGCACTAATGAGCAATACTGACAAGAAAAGCAATACCTGTCAGAAATTGCTCCAAACACCAATGAGCCAACCAGGACCCCTGCCATGAAGATGGACTGTGACACTTCAATTAAACCACTCTTGTCACAAACCAGATTAAACTGTAAAGGGATCAAACATTAGAGAGAGATGTGATATAAATTATAAGCAAATTATGTTGGAGAAAAACAAACATTCTGTTGAAGCTTCATTATGTCAAGCACTGCATAACCTGCCCATAATAATAGACTATTAAGGTCATTTTCTTTTAATTATATCAGCAGATCTTAAAGTGTCCACTCCGTGTTTTCCAATCATAATCTGGCATTTCATTCTGCATTGATCTTTCTCACTGTCTAGGCATGTGCTGTAAATAGGGGTTGTTGTATTGTAGGTCAGGATGGCCTACAGTAAAATGTTTTCCTAGAAATATCTGCTGTAGAGATTGGAGCCAACACCCTTTGCACTAAGACATATTTTTCTTCCAAAGGGCAGCTTGGAGAACTGTATCTGAGCCAAAAAGAGAAGAAAAAATCAAAAAGAAAAAAATGGCAAATCAAAAATGGCTTTTGTGTGTCTATTTTAAATTTTTTTTTAAACTTCTAGATATGTACTAAAAAAATTATTTAATCTAAAAAGAGTAAAATACACTACATAGTCCAAATCTTTAAACCTACAAGATGCAGAAAAGTTTATGCTTTTTTCTTTTTTGCTTACTTGTGTCATGAGGCTGGAGACTCCATGTGGAGCCTCATAGTCCCAGCCACTGATGCATCCAGTTGTGCTGTTAAGGCCATACTCTTCAATCGTTTCCAGATCCAGATCCACAGGAGTGAACATTTTACACTTTTCATACCTCCCATCCTTGTCAACAGGGATGGTGAGATTTCTTTGCCTCTCTGTAGTCAGGTTTGGATTTCTCTGCAAGATCCAGTCAGTGTTACAGTGATGTGGATAGCTAATTCCAGTGAACACCTGGCTGGCCACATCGAACGCAGAGAATATGCTGGGTATGCATAACGCAACGAGTAAGCTTTTCTGAAACAAACCAAACTCCCCAACCTCCTTCAGGACCTCTCCAAAGCTGCTCATCTTGGCATATGACTCCTCTAACAGCAGACCCCCTTTAGGAACTAAGGCAGAACTAGAAACCCTTGAGCCACGACTCCACGATGAGCACAATTAATAGTTAACCAAGCAGACATGAGATAAGCCAAAACAATTATGAAATATCATATATCATATCGTCTGAAAAATAAAGTTTCATGTAGTTTAACTTTAAAAATTAGTAATGACACTGATATTTAAAAAAGGAAAAAAACCTTCATAGGCAAAACAATATAAAAAGTTAAAATAGAATAAAATTGAAGGAGAATGACAAGTAAACAAGTAGTAAAAGTACCTTCAGGGCTCTACTAAAACCTGTAATCAATCTGTTAACGTGACATTCATAGATAATATCTCCTAAATTTTTTGACACTGTTAAAAAAATACTGAAAATTGATCAAAGCAAATTGCAGAACCAATAGCCTACATCAATTTATATGTGTAGAAACACCGCTGGTAAGGTCAAATCAGAGAATACATCAACAAAATGTAATTAGATATGTTTAAAAGTTTAAATGTGGAAAGAAGGTAAAACAATGTTTTAATGAAAACAAAAAGCATTTTGGTCTTAACTTTTTACAGTTAATAAAGATCAGAAACAACTTAAACAAAAAGACAGATTATCTGAAAAAAAAAATGTAATAACCTGTGGAGTGAAAAAGGCCTCCTCTTTCTTTCTAACTTCTTTTAATCTGCATTAATCCCTCTCTGTCAGGGTTTGGTTGAGGTTTTGAGGACCCAAATGCAGAGGCGAGGAACCAGAGGGGAGTTCTTAAAGATTTAATTGAAAAATGAAGCACAAAATCCAAAAACCAGGGTACAAAATACGTGGAACCAAAAACCAGACAACTTCTTAGGAAAAAATTCATGTGGGGAGCCAGGAAAATACGAGGAACCAGCACTGAGGAACTGCACAGGGAGAGTATATGGGAGACATTTGTGTATTTAACACATTTTTAGTAGTAGCAAAATATAGGCAGTTACATGTCTAGCACCCCTTAGTGGCCAAAAGTTACATTGTGTGCCTTTAAAGGAATAGTACACCCAAAACATGATTAGCCTTCATTTTCTACTCACCCCCATGCTGAACAACACTCTGGAGTACTTTTTTGATATCTCAAATGCATCTGGAGATCTGGGAGGCTTCTTGCTGTCTGCTGACATTCAAATAATGGAGGTCTATGGTGACCGAGACAGAAAGGTCCATAAAAGTCCACAAAAAACGTGTCAATATTCCTCCATACTGCTCGTCCAATGTATTCCAAGTGTCCTGAGTGGGTAGCGTCCATAATTTACTCGAAAAGAAGTCATTTAGAATGTTTTTAGAGCATAAACAGTAGTGTATAGGATTTCCTGAAAGCGCGCACATGCGCGCTCACGACGCTATGGAAGCTAACGTCGCCCCTTATCTGTTATTTTAATGTGCGAGTATAATGTTGTGACTAGAAAAATAACAATTGTGCAATAAAATAATTTGAATTAGGGGAGATTGTCTCAAGCCTAATCTGTAGCAGGCCTGTGTGCCTTCAAGGTAACTTTCTAAGTAAACTATTGCAACCTTATATTTGTCAAATTGGCAGTCTTAAATTCAAGTTGCCCATTGTAATCACACTAGTATCGCCACAGTTATATAACTTTCCACCAAATCTAGGCTTATGGTATTCTTGTACATTTGTTTTGGTTGCAGGCATTTTGTTTTACCCCTCTGTGTCTTATAGGCTGGTGTTCCATAATTTGTTGGTTCAGGAGGTCTGCCTTTTCTCCGGATCCACTATCCAGTTTAGATGGTAGCAGTAATAAACAAATTAGTTTTATAACTGCCAAAAACAAAACAAAAAAGAAAAATGTTCACACGGTCAGTTAGTGTCATGGTTTCTATCGTTTGGACAGAGCACAGAACATAAACTCTAAAGAGCTGGGTTATGATTTTGTGGGAGTTGCAGATGTTTTCTATTTTCTCACCCCTTGTGGGGTGGTATGTGTTATCCTTAAGCTCGGGTCCTCTACCAGAGGCCTGGGAGTTTGAGGGTTCTGCGCAGTATCTTAGCTGTTCCTGGGACTGCACTCTTCTGAACAGAGACCTCTGATGTTTTACCTGGAATCTGCTGTAGACACTCTCCCAGTTTGGGGGTCACAGCCCCCAGTGCTCCAATTACCACTGGCACCACTGCTGCTCTTACTTTCCACATCTTTTCTAGCTCCTCTTCCAGCCGTTGGTATTTCTCAAGCTTCTCGTGTTCTTTCTTCTTGATTTTGTTTTCGCTTGGGATTGCCACATCTATCACTACTGCCTTCTTCTGCTGTTTGTCGATCAACACGATGTCTGGTTGGTTAGCCATCACCTGTTTGTCAATTTGGATCTTGAAGTCCCATAGGAAACATCATAAGTGACCCCTCACACCCCCACCATGGACTGTTCTCCCTGCAGCCCTCTGGGAAGAGGCTTCACAACATCCGCTGCATAACCTGCAGATTCTGCAACAGCTTTTTCCTCACTGCCATCATACTGCCAAACTGTTAAAAAAAACTTCTAAATGATGTCACAGACTCTGCATTGCACTGTTAACACTAAACCAAAATACTGCATATTTGCACCATATATATTTGTCTTGAAATGCTCTGAACTTCCATTTTGTTGTGTTTTGCACCATGTTTTTTTCTCCCACTCTGTTTACATTTGATTACAGCTGCACTTAATGAAATGGAATTGTTCATTTCACTGCTAAGCTGCTGCTCATTTACTGTCTCAAAGCTGTACAAAACCAAATATCGTTTCGTTTACACTATCTGTTTACAAAATGACAATAAAAGCTGTCTAAGTCTAAAAAAAATCTTCCATGCTAAAAAATGAATAAACTCTCTGGTCCTTTCTATTAAAGTAAAAATGAAAATAATTGATATCAGATTGATCATTACATTGTTGAAAATGTGCGTATATTTAACTTTAAAAAAAAATACAAATAGTTAGTTAATAATAGTTCTGATCTACACTACAATTGTGTCAACGTTAGAATCCATATAAATGTTATTTCAATAAAATCCTACTTTTTACAGCAAATTTGTTATTATTAGAGTTAAAAACTGGTCCTTTGGTTGTTAAAAAATGCAATGGATCTCCCTTTTTTAACCTTTTACCACACCTTAAAAGCAAGCTTGAGTAAAAGGATAATCAAATAAAAAAAGGTAATTACTTCTTGATCAGACATCCAAATGTTTAATCCACTGTTATAAAAAATAGACTAGGGATAATTTCCTAAAACCTTTATACAAACACATGCTTAATACCCTTGATAGGATTTTTTTCAATGAAAAAGTCACCAAACTGATCACTACTTATAAGGCATTTTAGAAATCCTGATAAAGCTCAACATAATGCTGTACAATACAATTTTAAAAACTTACAATGAAAGAAAAACATTATTTAAAAAACGAAACCAGAACACTATTTAACAAACATTTTACACAGATAGCAAATCCAATTGTGAGGTAACCCTTTTTAACAAAACAATAACATACATTTCAGCCGTTTCACCTCATTTTAAACAAAGCTTGTTTAAAAAGTTCAACAAATTACAGTTTTTAATTTAAATTAAAATTCATAGTTTATCCTTAATTCCTTCGTCGAGGCATTGATGTCCCTCTGGTTCCTTTGGTAATTTTCTATTTCACAAACAAAAAGCAGAACACATGCATAAGATCACAATGTTGCTGAAATAATCAATGGCAGTGGGCAGCTTACTTGAGACCAATGTGGTCCTGGAGTTCAACGTTAAGAGTTTCTGGTAGCAGCAAACAGAAACAGCCAGCAGCCATGGGGATGAGGCCATAAACCACCATGGGAATGCTGTAATGGTAGGATTCCAAGAGCCTGACCAGTGGTGAGAGGATGCCGGCCACACGAGCACACATGGAGTTCACACCCATGCCGCTATGCCTGTAAGGTAATAGATCAGGTAATGAACATACAGACTTTAGCTCTATAGATAATGTAAGAAAATTTGTTAACTACTTTTTTTTTTTGTGGGAATTGAAGAGTTTGGAACATATATCTGAGGATGGAAGTTTCTTTTTTTGGTTCAGACTGACTTTAAATGTTTAACCTAAGCCAACAACGCTGTCATGCGGGGGCTACAGATAATATCCAATAAAGATTTATGATAAGAGTGTTACGTGGAAAATATTTAATTCAGTTCAAAACTGATTTATTTTTCTTTTGTTCATTTCAATAAGGTCTTTCATTGTTTACTTTATTTTAAAATCACATTGTGGCTGCAATAATCATTTATTTTCCAATTTGCCTTTCTGCATTCATGTTTTTACTTTCCCCGACTGGGAATTGAGGGTAGAATCAGACAAAATAACGTGTGGCTCCAACACAAAGAACAACTCAACCCTTACCATGGCCTTTACTTCCGCCCAGATGCAAAATATTAATTAAAAAGGCCCCTTATGGAAGTAGACCAGGTGCTGGGGGTGTGGGGTGGTCCCTGCTGTGATTTAAAAATGTGGATCTGACAGCTAAATTCACATATCAGGATGTCAGACGGCTGATAACAAAGGGCATGCTTGTCAGACAGATATAGCTGTCTGTTTGTGCTGCTTGTATGCCAATCTGGTAATAGGTGATTTGAAAGAACCATGGATTGGTCAAATGTCATGGAGGATTTCACTCCACAGACCAAACTGTGGGAGGTAGGAGAGGAAGGCTCTATAGAGAAGGCCAGTTGCCTGGAGCTGAACCAGTGTGAGCCGGCGGCTCTTTAAATTCTTGAGGCATCCAAACACAAAATGGGGACAATTTCAGAGTTGTAGTGTTTAGATCATAAACTTGGTATGGAGGTAAGCATAAAAAAACTCTGCTTTTAATATCCAATAGGACAGAGCTACCCAAGTCAATATTTATGGGTGACTTTGCAAAAACAGGGAATTAAAGAGAAATACTGACTCATGATTAGATGCAGTGCACCTATTTAAACCAGAGGAGTGCACCAAACGGCCAGTTTACAAACAAATGCAGGATCACAACAGGTGT